CATAGTTGTCCATCCCAACTGTGGCTCTGTTGAATAAATGCATCAGTCACACGGTAGAGTTGATCTGCGGGTCATTTAGCTGGGCGCCATATGGTCCATCTGTGAAGCTTCATGAAGTTTTTAAAGTCATTGCACTGAAACAAATACCTGTTTACTGCAGGTACTCTTCCTTCCTAGTCATCATATTAGACTCTGATGGAGTTTAGCATTACTGTCATACATACAAGAACTGTTTAATACTAAAGTAAAAAAAGAATAAGTCAAATCTCCCCAAAAACACCAACATAAAAGTCTGCATACAAGTGTAGTGACATGGAGTAGGGGATCTTAGTTTTCACCTTCAACAACTGTACGTATTATACACATCAGGAATTAGAGGAATGTATGCAGTCTCTAACTGTACGTGCATTCAGATCTCACATTTATAAAACCTGGATGGTTCACCAACAGAGGGCTTTGTGGCGAGATAGTATGGATAAAAATTTAAAACGTTGACAGCCAATTATACTCAGTCTGACACTGAGAAGGTTTACAGAAGTGTTACACACACAAAACACAAATTCTTTTTTTCTTTTCTTAAAAACTTAAAACTGTATGCACATGTTTTTTCTTCAAGATGTAATTTTTTTTTTTTTTCTACAGCTCCTTAGCCAGGAAGCTTTAACTTGATAATCCACATAACTGCTCCCCTGATCCACTGTTTTCTTGACTTTGGTGGCCTCGTCGGTGATAAGCAGTCCTTCCACCGGTGTTTGCACTGGACCAACATATTGTAATAGTAAAAATGATCAAACTCCACCACCGCCTATTGTATTTCCTCTTCCTGCCTACAATTACTACAAACAAGCTGTTGTTTGTCAAAGCCATTGTTGCTTTGACAAACATAGACAGCATAATTTCCTCTGCAGCAGAGGATTTCTCCCAGGAAACAGGATCACTTGCGCACACAGACACACACACACACACAGATATACACATGCAGTTGTGTTTGTGTTACTTCAGAGGACATTACATTGACTATATTGATTTCCTGGAGACTTACCGTAAGCATAACCACCACTTGCCTAACTCTAACCCTAACCCTTACTACTTAGTTTTATTTTGATAAGATGTTTTATCACTAGATGAATTTTATGTAGATTTCAATTTGTGCCTGTGCACCATAGACTTCATTGGGATGTAGTCCATCGCTCTTCTAACCTAACCATAACCTAATCTTAAGCCAAGTCTTCTCCCTAAAATGTAGTGATTTACGTTATGGGGACTTGCGTTTTATCTTAGACTAGTACCCACAACGCGACTGTGTAAACAGATTTATAGCAATTTTTAGCAATACATGTCCACGCACATACACACACACACACACACACAAACACACACAGTGACAAAAATATGCAATCTGCAAACACACTCAATATTACATTTAAACAAAGGCCTCTGAAACTTTTTGCTCTCTTTTCCTTTAACACACACACACACAGCCCTAAAGCCCCCTGCCCTACATTTTTTAAGACCCGAGGTGTGGGGCTCAGCACTCTGCCACGGTGACAGACAACTGAGATCACTGTGTCATTCACGCACACACAATGAGCTGCATTCAAATGGGCAGAAGAAACATGGTTTGTCTGCCTTGTAAGCTCAAGCAAAATACCCGGACAAGTTCAAATAGAGTTTCATAAAAGGGTATGCATACACACTCATACACATGAACTCAGGCACACTGACAAACACCTAATGTTGTGAATTTCAACCTTTTTTCTGCTGGACACACACACCAACACACACAGTCTGCTCTTGAGTGCCCTGTTAATAACAAGCAGCAGGTTAATATGAGGGCAGCAGCAGACTGAAGTGACCACAGCCTACTGATTAGTCCAACTAGTCACAGTTATTAGCCGCCGTGTCATCTGGTATCAGACCTGTCTTTCCCAGAGCACTGCTAACCTGACAGCTCTTAAGGTCATTATGCACACAGACACATTATGCAACATTTCAGTGGTAGGATGCATGGAGGCGATTTTTTCAGAAAAATACAGTAGTTTATTTAAAACCCCATTTAAAGTGACAGGCAGATGTTTAGGTACTTATGACAAAAGGTATCTTTAACATGCACAGTGCATTCACTAGAGCCATCAAGGTTGCACACAATGACGTTTTTTCATCTGCCATTTGTCAGGAACATGATTCTACAGACAGCAATGATAGTTTGTGGGTCTGTCGGTCAGCCCACCACTTTGGTCCAGACTGAAATATCTCAACAACTACTGGATGGATTGTCATGTAATGTGTTGCAGCCATTCACGATTCCCAGGGGATGAATCATCAGATAAAAATGTACATATGTCCAATACTTTGGGATCAAATGTCTAAATATGTGGTAGGCTACATTGATAAAATTATTGGATGAAGCAACTTTTCTTTTTAAAAAAACCTCTCACTAAACTAGACTTTTTTCACTCATGACCTGAACCTTATCAGGTCCTGTAAAATAGCGTGCCATAAGCCATACAGTACTAAATTATTTGTAACTCCCAGTCCCACCACTTAGTTGGTGAGAAGCAAATGCTTGTTGAACAAAAGGTGACTTCCTGCCAGAGTAGCTAGCCAAATTCACAGAGCTGGCAGCCACAGTCCAAGAAGCATTTGGCAGGTGACTAACGATTTTGCTTGCTGTGACTCGTCCTGAGCTCCTCGCCTGTGGGGAGGAAGGTGGAGGACAGGAGACAATTCATTTGAAAACACTGTAATCATGCCTCAAAGGCATTCAGTCCATCAACCTGAGTAGGCACTGAAACATTTCTCCTCTTCAACTACGTAAGTCTTTTCTTTTTTCTTTTCTTTTCTTTCCTTTTCATTTCTTTTCTTCTCTGGGTAATATTCAAAAAGCTCCATATTTCCCACATATGATAACACTGATAACCTTTATTTAATCAAGGCAGCAGTTGCAATTATTTGCACTCTGTGTCAAAAATGTAATTAAACTTAAGAATATTGTGTTCCAGTGAATCTTATTTCATTTATCTGGTGTTACATTATTTGTTCTGTCATAATGTAATGTATGACATGATAAAAAAAAAGTTTATGAAAGTATAATAGCATGAAAGCATACATTTCATATCACCCAGCATTAATATAAGTATGGTTTATTTTGATAAAAAAATAAAAAAATTTTGATCCTCTGAGAAATTCTCTCTCTGAGAAAGTCTTCTGCAATCATTGACAGCCTGTTAACAGGGAACGTAATTGACCAAGGCTCCTTAAAGTACTGTTCACACATACAGTGTAAAATGTAAAAACAGTATTTCACATCTATCAAATTTTTCCTGGAACAACCTGAACGGGAAATTCTTGAGCTTTGCAACAAAGACACAAGATGAAAATTTTGGTGAAACTTTATTTCAGGTTTGAAAGTTTGATAAAATTCATTAATTTAAATCCAATTTGGCCCTGAGAGAATTTCCGTCACATTTAATCATAATTAAGGGGAGTCAGGATAGAAATGATGAAAAATGATAGAAACTTTTCTTTGCCCTTTTCTAACACTCCAAAACCATCCACCTGCTTTCAGGTCCCCTTATATTTTTCCTTAACGCTCTCATTTTGGCTTCTGTCAATGTGATGAGAGAAATTTTCTTTTTATATGTATATTAATTACTTGATCTTGGCTTGTGCCGCCTGCATTGGTGTTGTTTTAATTGGACCAATTGGGCTTTTCAAACCTTAATATGACCTTATAAAATATGCCATTTGGTGAATGCTTTCATCCCAGGCTTCTCTGAGCATGTACATTTTTAGCGTGTGTTGGGCCCAGTTGGAATTGGAACCTACAGTAACTTTGGCAGTATGATTCTGTATGCGGCGAGCTACATCACGCTGTATCAACACATTACCCTCTAAGGGCCCATGAATAGAACAAAATTGGCTAATAAAAATGCTCACAACTCCTCCAAAAACATCTTTACTGTTTGCTACACATTTGTTTTCAACCCAACTTTGAATGATTTAATTTAACATTAGAAACCTACAAGCAGCAAGTATTGTTTGCTGCTTTGTACTTTTTCTGTTAAATAAACACTTTTGTTATCAGTTGAATTACTTGTGGTTTAAATGAGATACCTTCATATCTTTCTTCTTCAAGCAAATAAGTCCATCAGGCAATCGCTCTGTGTGCATGTGTGTGTGTGTGTGTGTGTGTGCGTGTGTGTGTGCGCGCTAGACAGTTTCTAATTTCCTGTGTGTGTTTATCATGCTGTACAGTGATTTGAAACACAGACAGACAGATATATATGTAACGTCAGTCCAGAGAAACCTGGAGAGTGGTCGGAGAGTTAAGATCATCCAGCTGCGCAGTTAGTAATGTCACCACCACAAAAATAAATTAACGATGAGATAAGAGCAGGTCAAAATAGACTGAGTGTTAAAATCTGGAAAATAAAGTACTGACTGTGTGCTACAGTATAACAGTACCACCTGCTGGTATATTTGTGGTAGTACATCCAAAAGGGGAGACGTTATACCATTATATTTAACTTTTGGAAAATATATGAGGGGAGTAAAACCAGGGAATTTACAAAGTAGGCTATGTCTTACCCCATGTGGTTAGTGACAACATGCAGCAGTCAGTTTACTGTTTCAGATGTCTACTTGTGACCCCTCACCACAGGTTTAGTATGGCCTTATTGTGGACATGAGCATTTCAAACAGTTCTCCCTTTTCTGATGTGCTATGAAGGGTTTTTATAGGCCTGCACAGGTAAGAGTATCCAGTATTTCACAAGAGGAAGGAAATAAAAATTAATTAATTGATTGAAAACAACTTTTTTTTTTCTTTTTCATGTGTGCAGTAATTATTTCTATAATATAATATATATATTATTATTACTAATTAAATAAAATGCCTGCTTTTGTGTTTTCAGCACACTTATGGACTAAACTTGCACTAGACTCAAAAGCCAAAATGTGATTAGTCACATGTCAACTAGGGAGGAAGAGATCACAAGCTCAGAGTAGAATCAGTTTGTTTATTAAACACTTAATCAACTGTTTTATACATCTGAACATCAAATGAGCTATAGCTGCTTTGTCAAAAACAGACTGTGGTACTGTGAGCTTATATCGTCGTCAAACCCAACATTCAATCTCTGATAGCGGAGAAACTAAACACACAGGTGTACTTGCTGAGCCACTCACTCTGGCCTCACGAGGTGAACATAAAGTGAAGAATCCCTTTAACTGAACGAACCAATCATTAAAGTTGAAGTATAAAAATGACACTATGAACAGCAGAATGAAGAAGATGGTGGTAAAATACATTCTGTCTAACCATTGCTTTAAAAAAAAACAAAAAAAACGCTGTGGTGCTATTTAAAGGTGGTGTCCATGAAACACTGATTGTCAATAGAACTGACGCATGATTGCCTGGAGCAACGAGCACTTTAAATGCAGAAAGTCAGAGGTAAAAGAGATGGGAACAGAACAGTTTAGATGACCACCAACTGTGATTAGCAGCGAAATAAGGTATTAAGGCAAAGGCTTTCAGGGTTAATGCTGAACAGTCCGTGTTGTCGTGTTTACCTGCTGAATGGCAGTGAGGAACAAAAGTTTCAAACTTCCAAGTATCAAAGAATATTGAAATATGTGTCTGAAAATGGGCCGGGGTCACCAAACACAGCAAACCCTCCCAATAAAATATCCATGAACTTTACATGAACTGTATTAACATTGTATGGCATCATCCAACAACATCAGTTTTGAGATCAGCAACTTAAAACAAAATGTCATGAATGTGGCAGAGTCAACCAGAGAACATCGCCAGTGTCTACTTACCTCTAAAATATTCTATAACAATTTCTTAAACTTCTTATTTACACCACTGAGGAGGTTTTGTTCTGTTCTGTTTCTCCTGAAAGTGGAAACAGACTTCTTAAGACTCAAATATACTTTACCTCTGAAATGATTTGTCAGATAACTCAGTCCTACAAGTCAACAGACCGAAGAAGCGCTTTGGATTAGAAGCTAATGCTACATAAACACAGATTTACAGGGAATCATGCATTTCACTGCTTACAACATCAAAGCAACATCAAAGCACATTGAAAAAAATTAATCAGATTTACACTGAATAACTCACTTGGAGGCAGTTTACTGTGATATACAGTATGTGTTAATTCTACTTTTGGCAATAAGGATTTCTTGAATATTTGCTCATCTTGAATAGAAAAAGTTCAGTGTACTGCATTTGTATTAAGTTTTTAAGTAATAATTTCACTTCAGGACTAAACCCAGTACACCTCCTACAAACCAGGCAGTGTTGTTTGGACTAAAACAAACAATAACAAACAAAAATAAACGTATTTACTCAGGAATCAACCATGGACTACTGACACATACTGTGTGAGCAATGTCATCACTTATCATGCTCTTCTTTTTATTATCATGAAGTTTTAAATGTGATATTCTCATGCTAGTATGTCTAAGCACATGATGGCACGATCTGTAAACATATATTTAATTCAGATGTTATTATTTTGGAGGCTAATGATGTACACAGCAATTTATCTTAACCTCAAGCCTGCTTTAACTCAAAAGGGGATTTTCTTTTAAAGCTGGGGTTGGCCACTCGGAGAAACTAGTGAGAAAAGGTTGATTTTTTAAGTATCCAACCAAAAAAATCCCACCCCCTTCCTTCACACCTCCCTTTAAAAGCCACTCCCCTAAAACACATTTTCATGCCAAGTAAGTGCACGGGCTGAGTGCGCACAGCCTGGTAAGTAGAGAGGCTAACCCTAACCCCTAACCCTAAATTTCCCAACTTTTAGGGTCATTTCAATAAAATTAATTAAAAAATAATTACAAAAGTTTGTGCTTGTTTTCTGCTGCTACTCCAGAACATTGGAGGCAAGTTCAATTTAGTAGTATATATATATATATATATATATATATATATATATAATAATAAAAGTGCTTTTGTAAATTAAGAGCTTAAACACTCATTCTATCCCTTTAATGTTCTTCAAACATCAAAGAATATATAGATACATTTTCTATATTTAAGGTCAACTGTATCTGCTGTTCGCTACAATAAAATCTTGTAAGTTTCCAAATTAAATCTGGATAGCGTAACATGACTCGAATCATAGTTTAGGACTTATTTGGCATTGCCACTGATATGGTGTGTTTAATTTTTTTTGTCTTTTAGGCAATAAATGCAACACTTTCCATTTCCTAATAGTATTTTAGAGCTGAGAACAAGATTTACTCTCTGGGTTCTTATTCTTTTAAACAAACTCTTACAAATAATGACATCTTATGTCACTGTGGGAGTTCCTGGTAAAAAAAAAACACAAAATACTAAAATATACTAATTGAGATTGGGAGTAATTTAAAAAACAATTATTCACAAAGATGTTCTTAGATGTTGTTTGTGCGTAAAGTATTTCATAACTTTTCTATATACATTGTGCCTGTTAATGTCACGTAGAGTTTATCACTGCATTTTTATTATGTAAACTAACTAATTCCTAGCAGCTACATATAGTTATTGCTTTCACACAACAAGGGTAGAATGTTTTCTATTTAACACAGTGGTTCCCCAAACAAGGGGAAACACAATTAAACACCCTGAAACCTTGTGATTTATGTAGTTGTGGTAGAAATGCTCCTGTCTATGTGTGTCTTCCTGTCTTTTCCAGCAGAGAACAGTGTTGAGCCACGGTTGGAAACTAACTGGGGGAAGGGTCACGGGATGTGTCGGCATGAAATACTCTTCCTTATTATTACAGTTTTATCTCTACTTTATCTCCTACTTTTTAACTTTATCGCTCATCCTTGGACGTCCCTTAAACACTACTCATCATTTTCAGACACGGATTCATGATTCAGTTCTGGTTCAAAACTCAAGCAAAAACAGTGAATGTGGGTCTTCTTGTTCCACACATAAAGTCTGGGGCCTCCTCATTAAGAATGAGGCATCTGTAGAAGGGGTGGCTCCTGAGCTGTTTCCCATGAAAAAAATGAGGTACAACCTGTATGTTTTGTCAACAGGCTGAATCACAGACTTGACTTGAATCCCCACATTCTTAAACCCATTCAGTCTCTCAGTCGTCCATCTTGTCCAAACAATGCTGAAACAGAGACAGTGTCAGTTGCGTTTCAAGTTGTCGCTGTGGTTTTGAGGTCAAGTACTAAACCTTCTAGCTCCCCCCCACGTCATTCCTGCACTATTCTTCTATGAAGGATTGCTCTCTTCAAACCTATGCCTCCTCCATCACCTCCATGACGATTGTCCTGGGTCCAGTTAGGATCAGGCTGCTGACGGTCCGGTAGTCCTGAGAGAGGACGTTCAGTCCATTCACCGACACCACAAATTGGCACACCTGAAGAAAGATGGACAATGAGGGGAGAGACGAATTATGCTGTGGCTGTAATGCTCTCCACTTTCACACCAATCAAATGAGAACGTTAAAATGGAGCCTAACAGGAGTACAAGATTGCATGGAGCGGTTGGAGAAGTTTCTAAGGACATTTTAGTGTTTTTTTTTAACTTCCGGGTCTTTATTGCAACTCCTGTGAATCTAAACAGACTTCAACTGTCCTGAAGCTCCCAAGCTGCAAGAGCCTTGAAAGCTCCAGTCTGTGTGTCAACAGGTTTTTGCTAATTTATAACAGCTGAAAATCTGTTTGGAAATATGTAATAATATAACTAGGGCCTGTGAGGGGAGATGTTTATGCTAATTAGCTTTCTTGGCAAGATGTTCTTACAGATGGTTAGCTTAGCTTAGCACAAAGAATGGAAATGGGGAAACAGCTAGCCTGGCTTTCTTCAAAGAAAACTAAATCTACATACCAGCAGCTCTAACGTCACTAATTAACAGATTTTATCTTGTTTATTACAGTAGGTTAAGTCTCCACCGGTTGACTTGCAAAGGGATAAGAGTGTACAAATGCACATAAGCATACTTCCCAAAATGTCAAACTATATGTCAAAAAGAACTTATTATTTCAGGTTTTTGCGCATTGCATAAAGTTATGCCTAAATATTTATTGTTGCCCCAGGTATTGTATTTTACCACAGAACGGTTAGGTTGTGTTGTAGCACAGAAAAACTATACATTTTAAATAGGCAGAGGGTGAATGTTTGATGTACAAAAGTCACAATTTCAGCATTTTCCTTTAAAAAAAATTTGTTCACTCACAGTGCAGCCGACAAACCCAAAACACCAGGTAGACAACACAGACAACATACTCAAAGCTCCAACAGTACAGAGAAACAGGTATACACTGATAGTGTTGCCTGACATAAATTACACCAGGTACAACATGACAGCCACGCTCTAATCACTCTCCTTTCACGTCTGTACCCCACCTCCCTTATCGTTATTTACCACCAACTTGGCAGCACCGATAGAGATAAGGCTTGTTCTCTGAGCTGCCTTCTGGCTGCTGCTCTTGCAACATGATGCTGGCGTTTCTGCTGCTGCCGCTGTGGGTTTTATTTTTATTTTTTGGTAAGCTATTACAGGTGCACACTCACACACACACTCCCAATTCACTGGCTCCCAAAAGTTTTCCAAAAGCTCTGCAAGATGCGAAAAAGGTTTGATGCATGCCAGGGAGAACAAAAGCACATAATCATTTAGGCATTTATGTTGCCTATAAATCAACAACGTGACTGTTGCAGGTACAGATGTGTTTCATGGGCCATTAACTCAGGAAACATGTTACAGGGAGCAACCATGCCTGTTCCTTACATAAACTTACTTACATATGAAAACAAGAATAGTGAATACATGCAGAAAGAGGTAACTAGGTCGTCCTAAAGGTTTCAGGAAAGAGATCAAAATAGGAAGCGGGAATAAGGGGGGAAAGAGAGATTAAGAGTGATAGAGGGAAGGAAAAAAATCCCAGACTCTTAATGCTGCAGAGGAATTTTAGACTCTCATTGTAATCACATCTAAACCTTTGCAGCCTATATACTCAAAGTACTCTGGACCTGGAGTCTTTTTCTCCACTTCTATCCATTTCTCTCTCCGTTCCACCTTTCCTTTCAACTTCTTTTTACTCTCTTCCAACACCTCCCCCACTCTTCTCTTCCACTGGTTCTTCTCTGCTTTCAGGCTGTGGATTAACTAAGTAAATTGAAAAACAGACGGCAGGGTTCCCTGGTTGGTTTGGTGTTTTAAAGACATAGTTTGACATTTAGGAAAATATGTTGTTTTTTTTTTTACCAAGAATGAAATGATAATATTGACATCACTCGCACCGCTCTGACAGTTAAGTACGAAGCTAGAGCAAGAAGACGGTTAGCTTAGTTTAGCATGGAAGACGGAGGAAAGAGCTAGCCTGCTCCTCTCCAAAAAAGGCAGTATTAACTCACACTAGACATTTTAATTGGCCTTTCTGTACAGCAAAACACTGATGCTGAACATAAAGACGGAACCGATCACAATCAGTGTTGTCCATTGACAGTTACAATAAAGTTTATTTAAAGAAGATGGCCGCATCCTCAAGAATGTTGCCAAAAAGAGAAAAACAGCATTACTTTGTGCAAGGCTTCTATTAACGGAAAGCAAGAAGAATAAAAGGAAAAATATGGAGCCACAGAGTGTCGGAAAGATGGAACTTTATGGTCTGTCTGTTGTGCAGCGAACTCAGCTTTAAATCACAGCACAGTCTCAGTCAAGACCAGCGTAGCCACACAATGTAAAATACAACTCCCAATAACCTTAAACCACGCTCACTACAGTTTGTAAAGGATGTTTTTACAGTAGCCATGTGAGAAATCAGACCGTGGAACTGCTTGACCTACAAGACAGCTGAGCAAAATTTCCAACATGCTCTAAATCCAATCAGAGCCAGAGCGATAATAATATGTGCAATTAATCAGGCTCCCTCGAACTGAACAAAAACTTTCAGCAGAAATTTGTCCCGGCCTTAAAATTATTTGGGGCTACAAATTCAGAGTTAAAATCTGGCTTAATCCACACAGTGTCTGCCTGGTTTACAGCTCACTAACTAACACATTATACACATAAGAGTTTTTCGTAAAATGTCAAACTTTTCTTTTAACAGACTATTGGATTTTGTACTTTATGTCTCAACTAGTCATAATTGTGTGTCTTCAATATACTTAAGATGTTATTAAATATCCCTATAAATGATTTTACACGTAGTATAAGTGTATTCAGGCTGCAATTCCTGATTCATCTAACATTCATACCTTTAAATGTTCATTTTCAAGGATCAAAATCTTTGATGGAGGCTGTTTTATGAAAGGGCATTACAAATCACTCTAACAGGAGTATAAGTACTTGGTACCATTATGGCCAGGACAGTGCTGATGTGTGTGTCTGACAGAGATACAGTGCCTGAAAGCGCGAGTGTATGATGAGAAGTGAGAAAAGCTTCATGATGCTTTTTACTACCTCCCCCACTGAGGTCAAGAGGTGTAAGTTTCTCATTTGGCCTTTTGCCTGGATCTCAGTGCCAGCACCTCACAGCACGGCATTCCCTCTACCAGATTGCGATCCTGCCTAGTTACACATCAATAAAACCACTCAGGTGAAGTGGAACAGGGCTAACCTTCTAGGAACTACAGGGAGTGCTATGAACAACTCACAGATAAACTGCCGATGCTGTAGCACACACACTTCTGCACACTGCGAATATATCTCCATGGTGATAAAATATGAGAGTTGACCGAAACCAAAGCAGAAGTGATATTATTTCCACTGACCGTTTCCTCTTTCAGTGCTCATACTTAAGCTCCTCTACCCCTGCCTCCTTCCTCATCCTCCACACTCATCGCTCTTCTGCTCGTGTGTCTTCTCGCTAACATCACTCAGAGTTAACATCCTGTCCTTTACTTAGTCAGCAACGTTCTTCCACAGATTGTCATGTTTTTTTAAAGGGTAAAATAAACCTTTGGGTTATTATTAAAACTGACATATTGGACACTTGGCAGACGATTCAAAGCCATTTTACTTTATGCCTCCAGAAAAACCTCAATGTTCACTTCAAATGTCTCCACAGCATGTTAGCAATGCTTACTACCTTTTAAAAACACAACCAACACTTTTTTTTATTTGCTTAATAACTTTCCTTTCCCAACTCTCTCCTCCAAGTGATGTCTTTCTGTGCTCCTCATTCTGGCTTCTGCTGCCTTTTTTATTCAGCCCTTCCTCTATCCTCCCTCTCCATGCTGCGGTTTAAGTTGCTGTGCTTTGCATTCCCAGGATTCCTTGCTGCCACTCTGCTTAAATAACTCCATGCCAGTTGTGGCAGCAGAGCCACAATTACCCCGTTTCCCACCTTCAACACTTTTACTGCTTTTACAGCTTCTCTCTGCTCCTGTCCCAACCATCACGCAGGCTTAAGTTACAGGATCTTCCCAGTATATTTATTTCTACTCCTTCCCTACTCCTCTCTTTCATTCTTGTCTAACACAGTCAGCACAGTAAGTATAACAGTTTATATTTAAGTGCAGACTTAACAACCCACTCATAAAACCCTGTTCAGACAATTACTTGCAATGTACTTTGCATTTATGAAAACAACTTTGTGGCCAAGCACAGAAGATGCTGTCTCAAACATCAATGGCGCCACCATGGCACCAACACCATGTTTTACATTTCAATCGCTCAGAATTAAATAACACGAGCTCCCTTCTCCAATCATCACATTGCACTGTCATGAAGATAGTTATAAAATCACAGATGACAAAACCCATTTGTCCAACAGTACTGCAACCTCAGCAGATTACCTACAGTAACACTTTCACACATGTAAATCAAGAACTGCAATTCCTCCTTACCTCACCTTCACTCTATATGTTGGTTAATTTACACTTCAGGACTCGATACATTTCTCCTGTTCTTACCTTCATGCCAGCAGCAGCTGCAGGTCCGCCAGGGTCCACAGCCTGGATGTGACAGGGTTTGCTGCCTCGCACCACAAAGCCCCAGCCCACAGCATCACCTACAATCTGAGGAACAACGAGAACACATGTTGACATAACATGACATCTTGCTATTTTTTATACACACGGGTTAGTATTTAAACCACACCAAAATGTTCATCTGTTAAAATGTGTGGTTGTAGCTAGTAAGTGGATCTTTGTGGTTAGACTCTCTCCATCATATACTGTTCCCACAATGTCAATAACGAACATCCACACTTTGCAACCATGTCTATAAATTACTGTACACACATAATACTTTTTCAATTTTCAGTATTCTCCGGAAGAGTGATACTCATTTGGCACCCTATGGTGATCACACTCATCTGTGGCTTATGTATCCACAAGTGTGTGCATGTGAGAGGGATACGTGACTGTGAGTGTGTGTGACTTTATCCATGCTGTCTTTGTTTGAACTCAGTTGTTTGTGTGTGTGTGCATGTGTGAGTGAGAGAGAGAGAGACAGAGAGAGTTTGTGTGTGTCCTACAGTGAATGTCTTCTTTAGAAAAGGTCCTCCTGGTTTCTGCAGCTCCTCTGGACTCACTTGCCTTTTCAGAACTGAAACACACACAAACATTCACACACAAATTGTTATTGGCTACATTCATTTGAACATATATATTGTTAGTGCACACATACCTCTGTAAACATGCATGAACAAGCACACACACTGAAACACACAAGCACGATACTGTTGGTTAAAAGTGTGAATGTATGTATGTGTGTGTAGAAAGTGGTAATGACTGTCACATGCAAACAGGGCCTGGAGGGCCGCCGCTTCCTGAATCAATACAGCTCCCCTTCTCGTGCTTCAACTTCCCCGAAACATTACTCACTTAAACACGACTCTACACAGGATTTACTTTTGCGTCTCAAAAAATGATAAAAAAATTTTAAATTCACTCACAACTGATGAAACATTTGACAAAACATAGAGCGGGGACGATCCATGCACACACCAATACCCACACATAAAAGAAAAAGAAAATAAATCTCATATATTTTAGAGGTTGTTTTTTTTTTAGGTTTTTAGACAATTTCACTGTGTGCATGCATTTCTGCCATCTACACATCGATCTATAATATACCAACTACAAACTTCTAGTTAACTGCTCACATTCTTTATTCTTGCTTTTGTATTTTTTTCCTAAATGTTTTGTTCATTATTAACCCTTTAAAATGAGGCATGTCAACTAAATCATTACTGTTTACCTTACTCAGGTCTGATGATTGAGATAACACGAATGATTATGGTTTATATGTACAAGAGTGATTAATGAATGACACTATACTGTGCACATAGACATTTGTTGAAATTGCACTTCTCCTTTAGGCTGATTAAAGGCATTTGTATGTCCATTGATTGGGATTTATAAACCAGAACCATATCATATGTCATGCTTTATACAGCAGTTTTTGACAGTTTATTATTTAACACAGACAGAAAACAGCATCTACAGTGTGAATTAAGAAAATGTGTGTGTGCTGAACAAACCTTTAAGTGCTAAAATGACTTGAAATGCATTTACTGTTTCCACACAAAGCTGAGAGCACATCCCTTAGAGGGCCTGTGCGTACTGCACTGCTTGTTCTTGACAAATCACTTGTGGTCTGTGTAGTACTTCATTCTAATCTGATAACCGAGAGGACGTGAAGCGAGAGAGACCTTTTACTCTCTTGATCAGGACATTTCCATAATCTCTCTGTGGAAATCCTGATCTGATCAGATCTAAGGACAACCTCTTTAATACCTCGACATCTGCCAGCTTTACTTCAAATCAGAAGCCAACACTGGGTTATTTTTTAGTCTGGCTTTATAAATGCATCCCAGAAACAGATCCTCTTAAACACTCAGCAACCTTTGTGTCATCATCTACTGTGAATGTTTCAGATTTTTGGACTTCTTACCTTCCCATCATGTGAAACACACTATTCCTAAGGTTAATGTGAAGCAGAGTTTGTGTTTATGTGTGTGTGTGTGTGTGTGTGTGTGTGTGTGTGTGCGCTCATGTTGAAAGGGTATCTGCTGCTACAAAGAGACTCTGTCAAGGACTCTGCTTGGATTAGACACATCAAAGGAAACCTCACAGTAGTAAAACACACAAAGCAGAAAACCCCCACACGCACATCTCAAAGGCATCCCTTCTTCATTTAAATCTCCGCACAGAAGTTAAAGCAGTCCACCTCCAAGTACTATGTATCACTTGTTACAAGCCACACATATACAGTCCCCTCCCAAAGTATTGGAAAGGTAAGGCAAATTCCTTTGTTTTTGTTGTCCACTGAAGGCATTTGGGTTTAAGATGAGTATGAGACAAGAGTTCAGAATTTCAGCTTTTATTTCCTGGTATTCACATCTAGATGTGTTAAACAACTCAGGACATATCACCCTTTGTTTGAACCCACCCATTTTTCAAGTGAGCAGAACTATTGGAACATGTGACTGACAGATGTTTCTTGTTGCCCAGGTGTTGCCTTTTAGGTTGATTGTCCAAACATTAAATAGCTCTGCATGACTAGTCTAAGTTTTCATCCTTGGTTCAAACCTATAAAGACTGCATTTCCTGTTAAAGAAGATAAACCAACATGAAGACCAGAGAGCTGTTTATGGGAGAAAAACAAGGCATTGTCAAGCTGAGAAAAGAAGGTAAATCCACCAGAGCCAGCACAACAATTTGGAATGTCCTGAAAAAGAAAGAAACTACCGGTGTACTGAGCAACAGACGTCAACCAGGTCGGACAAGGAAAATAGTAGTTGATGACGTGAGATATCGTGAGAGCAGAGATGAGCCGCAAAAGTTCTGCAACACAATTTTATGGACTGATGAGACCAAGATTAATCTCTACCAAAGTGATGGAAAGGCCAAAGTGTGGAGAAAGAAAGGAACTGCTTATGATCCGAAGCATACAAGTACATCTGTGAAGCATGGTGGAGGTCATGTCATGGCTTGTGCGTGCATGGCTGCTTCTGGAACAGGCTCATTAATATTTATTGATGATGTAACTGATGATGGTAGCAGCAGAATGAATTCAGAAGTGGACAGAAACATTTTGTCTGGCAATTTATGGAGAAATACATTGAAACTAATCAGGACGAAGTTTATCATGCAGCAGGACAATGACCCAAAGCACACTGCCAACAAAACAAAGGACTTCATCAGGGGAAAAAGTGGAAGGTTTTAGACTGGCCAAGTCTCACCTGACCTTAACCCAATAGAACATTTATTTCAACTCCTTAAGAGGAGACTGAAGGGAGAAACACCCCGAAACAAACAAGAACTGAAAGAAGCTGCGGTAAAAGCCTGGAATAGCATCACAAATGAAGAATGCAACAGTTTGGTGATGTCGATGGGTTGCAGGCTTGAAGCAGTTATTGCAAGCAAGGGTTATGCCACCAAATAGTGTTGTAGTACTTGAGATCGGTCTTGGTCTCAAGACCAGTCTTAAGACCACTTTTTGACGGTCTTGGTCTCGTCTCGGACTCGACCACATTTGTACTTGGTCTTGTCTCGGTCTCGGACATTGAAGACTCTGGATTTTATTTCAAGACCAGTCAAGACCATAACTTAGGGAATATCAATACATCGCTTTTGCATTGTCTGATTTATTTGTTAACAACCTAACTTTGATTGGATGTAAAACGTATTCAAATGCAACCAATAACCCTAATTAAAAATGTTTTGTTACCGTTAACGGCTGTCACCCCTCCCCGCGATGGTAAGCATGGAAAAGGAGTGTTTGTATGTGGGTGTTTTAATTGCGTTTCATGTATTGTGGGGAACTGGTCTTGGTCTTGGCTCAATACAATACTAACGGTGATATGTCCTGAGTTGTTTAACACGTTTAGATGTGAATACCAGGAAATAAAAGCTGAAATTCTGAACTCATACTCATCTTTTGATCTTAAACCCAAATGTCTTCAGTGAACAACAAAAACAAAGGAATTTGCCTTACCGTTCCAATACTTTGGGAGGGGACTGTATATCTAACTCTGTAGTTAACGTGAGGCCATTAAGCCTTTCTCTTTATAAGTTCACTTAAATAAAATGAAGTTTACAGTTTGTGATGAGAATAATGGCATGAGGTGGCTTAAGTCACAAGAAAGTAGTGTTAAGGATGGAAAGTTTAATAAACATATGCAATGTTCTAAAATGTATACTGCAAAGTCACATTAGGAATTAGTGTCTTAAAGAACTCATTACCAGTATAATCAATACATTAAAAGGCTTGACCCAGGAGCCATTCATCTGCCAGTATGTACAAAAAACATCTATCCCGTCCCTTCCGCTTCTATACCAGTTTTCCACATTCATGGTGAGACAGTGATCTAGTGATTGGGTGAAAACCAGAAACCGACTTGGTCAGGTTGCCATTGGCTAACGCAGATTTCATCCAACATGAATAAGAAAGAACTAATTGAAAACCACACATTTATAAAAGCTGACACATAAACTACCTGAAAACAAAATTGTGTTTGTGAGTGTGCCCTACGTCATCTCACCTGACTTGGGGTTGCAGAGGACAGGTGGACTGCTGCTGAGCGTAGGACTGCTGCTGTAATAACCGCTGCTGCCACAGCTGCTGCTCATGCTGCTCCGCCGAACTCCGACCACCACCTTTATCTCTTTAGTGGGACTCACTGAGACGGAGAGAGACAAAGAGAGGCGAATGACTAAAGACAGACGGGAGGAGGAGAAAGCCTTTCTTCCTGCCGGTCAATAAACAGCTTGAAAAGTACTAATCCTAAATGTGTTTACATGGAGCCTTTTATTTACTTAATTAATATTCCGAATTACAGCTCATTATGAAAACAAATGCCTCATTTAATCATCCTCAATTAGTATAAACCATCACATAAGTCTCCAAAAAAATCTATAAATATTTGTTATGTAAACCCTGTTTCCCGTTACTTCCTGTTTCCTGATAAGGAGGAGTATCTGAATTGCAGCCCTTGTCCAATCATTTTACACTCATGAAAGATCCACTCTGTTATCTTTACATGGCAGACACCACCAAGGTCGCCAGTTATCCTCTGTGTCAACAGAAGCGAATGCTAAACGGTGTTAATATGTCACAGTTTTTTTTTCCTAGAAAACAGGATCCAATAACCTAGGGAAACATTTAAAGTGAATTATGAGAAAAAAGTAACACATTGAAAGTTTTCTGTAAGGTTTCAATTGAAGGACAGCTAACTTCACCTTCTCTGTCAAACACACACTGACCACTATTAATAGCTGGTTTACAACACTGTAAAACTGGATATGATCACTGTATATACAATTACTTTGTGTGTGTGGTATAGTGTCTACCTGAGAGGAAGCTTGTGTTGCCTCCGTCTGAGTTCTGTTTGCGGAGACAGAAGGGGCTGTCATGACTCTCTGGGATGCTGCGGCCACGCTCGTGAAGAAGTTCTATCAATCGCCGGCGTCGCCGGAAATTCATCCTGAACTGGTAGAGTAGGGGCCCGTTGACAAAGTGATGCTTGTTGGTGACTGGTGACAAACAAAAAGGGACATGGAGGGAATAAATAAGCTTTGTTAAAGAGAAAGAGAGAGAGAGATAAGACAAGGGTTGAGATGTTAAACATGAGGAAATGGTTTGATTGGCTTGTTAAATGTATTTCTATACTGGTTGTGAGTCAGAATCTAACATCCTTACACCTAAGTCAAATTATTTTAGTGAAGTGAATCATTTCTTCTGTAGGCCAGCTTGGCTGAAAACCTCACAGATTCATGTTTCTCACCTGAACTGAGCTCAGCCACGCCTTAAATTCTGCAGCACTAAACAAACTGTCTATTGAGCTGAGATCACCTGAGCTGAACAAACACAAAACTGACCTCAGAGAGCGTCGACCTCAGGCACGTCAGCTGAGCTGATAAGAGCAGCTGAACTGAGGAGTTGACGGAGTACAATTTAATTTTAATTAATAAGAAAAACACTAGATTTCCTATTTCCCATCATTTCTTGAAAAAAATGTTATTGTTAGATCATGTTGCACTAGTAAGCATGAATTACCTTGTAGAAATAAATATTTGCTCCATATATACCCATTGAAAGCACGTATCATGTTGGTAATTTCTTCCAGTAACCTTCCTCATGAAAGAGCTTTTGACTTTGCTCAATCAGAAATTAAAGGATGCAAGAACAGCTTACGTCTGAGAATAAATGACCAGTAATAAATCCCCAGCCCTGTTTAGCACAATCAATCAATTTGTTCATCCTTCACCCACTGCTATCCCTGCTACCTCAACTGACAATTGTGAATTGCATTTATCATTTTACAATTTCTTATCTGCGCCTGCCCTCCTGCCAATTTGATCTCTTACAGTCCTGTTTAGCGGCTATAAAAGGACTGGATCACACTAAACTTCCTTCAACTTTATTCTGAAAAAACTGAGCTTCTTATCATTGGCTCTGAAAATGCTACTAAAGACATCTTCCAGTACATTGGCCCACTTGCCTCTATGTCAAACCATACTCTAGAAATCTTTGAACTTCAACTGAAATCTGAAAACCATGTCAACAAACTTGTTCATGTTTTTTTCAACCCACAAAAATACGTGACTTTTATAATACCCTTTTCACTCGCCTGATTCAAACGGCCCTGGCACTTCTACAGCTTGTACAGAATGCAGCAGCTAGGTTTTTAAGTAGGACTAGTCGTAGATCACACATTACTCCTATTTTAGCCTCGCTGCACTGGCTTAGACTAGTCATGCAGAGCTATTTAAAGTTCAGGATTGATTAAAAAATTATTTTAATCACTTATAAAGCACTACGTGGCTTAGCTCCTGCCTACATTTCCGAGCTACTAACCACTGAGCGATCTGTTAGGTCATGCAACCAAAACCTGTTGGCTAAACCGCGTGACAACCGCAAAAAAGGTGACCGTTCTTTTGTGATCCTAGGTGGTCATAGGTGTGTTGCATTTGTATGAGGGTGTATGTGTATGACCTTTTAAATGTTTTTCTCTTGTCTGAGTGTTGCATTTCTTATGTTTATGCTTGATATTATGTACAGCATTCACCTGTATTAAAAGAGGTGAAATATAAATAAAGTTGTACTTCCTTATTACTCACTCTATGGTTGAAATGGTGTACACAGTCGAACGTACACATTTTAAAAAAAATGTAATCGTTACATGCCCTTAGCCAATCCCTCCAACATTATCTCCTTACCCACCCCCAATTCTGGTCATCAATGGTTAGTGTTTGAGTGCGACAAAAGTATAGAAATATCAAGTAATAAGTAGCACACATACAGTACACTAATAGTGTATACTAGTGTACTGTACTAGCGTAAATGTAAATGTAGCCATTTAGTGTTCTACTGTGTAGACAAGAAACACACATTAGACTTCTTGTTAGTTCACATATCCTTTTGTAGGTGCATGGCTATTGTCAATATTATAATAAATTCATATATTAATATATTAATATTATATGTGACAAAAGAAAAAAAAATACTATGGAAATGTCTTTAGAGAAGTGTTTTAGGACTGAACTACTGTGAAACCGAAACACCGTCTCTCTTGTTATACTGGTTTAGGAATATCTCGGTTGTCTTTGGCACAGTGATACACCGACTCTACACTGTCCACTTGAGTAACTCATATACTTAAGTTGCTTATATACATTGTCTGAAAAATTTACCTTGACTGTAGGTCTGTATTAAAGGTGCCTCTTAGTGTGGGATCCCCAATGTCAGCTGGTCGGATGTACAGTGCAGAAAAACAGCTACCATACTGCCCCACAGTAAACAATGATACAATGTGGATCCACCGAGACTTTGTTTCTATACATTATACGAATGAATGTGTGACCATGACCTTTGCAGAGCAGAGAGCAGAAATGCAGATTAGCTAGTAAACTGTTCCTCTCTACCATGTTTATAATGTGTTTCTAATGGGAATTAAAGGCCTGTAAAGACAACTACATTAGTTTCATTCTCTCTCCTTAATGAAATAAAAGGGCGTATACTGATATGTACAGTGTGAAGTCCACATATCATCCGTGTAATGCCGGTTCAGTTATTCCCACAGGGAGGCCGGCAGGAACCAGATCTGGCTCTGTAGTGCATTAAAAGTGAAGTGGCATGTACTGTCCCTAATGGCCATATACAATCTGTAATCCACACCAGAGTAGCTGAGTTAAAGGTTATATTATAAATGTTCAATGCCTCAATTGAATATGATTTTGCTATTGTTTACTCTTTTAAAAATGGAATCCAAGTGCTCTGTGTATGTGTGAACATGTCTAGCTACTAATTATCATGTGGTGAAATCTGCATATTACTGTATGTTCAAATGAAGAAAAAAAACTCCAACATTAAGGCCATGTGACTCCTCTGCAGAAATGCACATCCTAATTTAATCAGACACGGGACTGAGCCATAGACATCAGCGTCAAATTAAATTTCATGTCATGTGGTGAGCCAACAGAGATTCATTCAGGATCTACGTTCATTGTTAAAGAAAACCGTGCACAGACTGTAGAGGTGAGAATGAAGACCATCGTATGACACACCCCACAGGTGAATATACAAATGCACTTGTGTGGCTCATCACTCGGTGTTCTAATATTTGCACATTTGAAGACAGCTTTTTTGGTGAGAAGACATCAACAATGTTGTGCCCTCTCAGTACAGCTGGCGCTAATTGTGCCCTTGGCTTGATTTAATAAGAGGATGCAAACACACATTCACAGCTGGGAGTGATATGTTTGATTACACTGCACACAAAGCAGAAACATTAATGCTCTTCTAAAATAGAGAAAAACACTCTGGGTTTCAGTTCCTCTGAAATTCCCCAATATGCTTCTGGAGTGATAATGTGTCTGTCTCTGTATGTATGTCTCTACATCTACACTCTCTTTGTTTACACTAGACAGATTTGGCAGGCGATTTTATTGTTTTAAGTTGATAAACATTTATGGGTTAATTAACTAACTATATATATAAATAAATTCCCCCTTCCACCCTCCTTGTGGAGTGGTATGTGTCTCATCCTCAAGCTCGGGTCCTGGGAGTTTGAGGGTTCTGCGCAGTATCTTACCAGCTGAAATTATATATATATATATAAATATAAATAAAAGTTCAGTTGGTTCAGCTCTGTACAGCCAGTAGAACCTGTTGGCCTCCTGATACCTGTGCACATTTTCCTCATGTTCATTGTTTATTACTCAGTAACCTGTGACTCTATTCTCTATACTCTTGAAACCAGCCAGGCCTGGTTAAGTATAGAAGACACAGAATCAAGTCTAGTGAAATACAGTCCCAGTATAATGTGGGTCAGTCCAAAAGAGCAGGGAGCCCAAAATAAGATGTAATGACTTTTAGGTGAGTTTCCATTTGAAGTTTCCTGTTTCCCATTTGAGACTATGTTAACCTATTTTCTGGGGGGTGAGGGTGGTGGTGGTGGGAAGGGGGGTTCATAGAAAGGTATAACTGTAATGCAGGTCAGATTAAGTGGTGAAGTGATGAAGCTGTCAGCCGAGACTCCTCTGTGTTAAAAACTGCTGCAAGCTCAGACTGAACTGCACGACTATGGACAAAAAGAAATAAAAAAGGTCAAAAGGGTGTTAGAGTGAGCCGCAATCATAACGTCTACAACAGTTATCAGATTGCATGACCCAAAAGAGCAAAGCTAATGTAGCAGTTAAGGAGGAGCTGTGAAGAAGTCAGTCTGTAGTCTGAATATGGCCGATGGCAGAACTTAAGAGCTCTCTGACAGGATTATGTAAGGGTGAGACGGGACTACGTACAGGGACTACATACAGGGACTACATACAGGTACTAAAAGCTTTTTTTTTTTTACGGAGCGGGTTTATGCAGACACAGCAAGAGGTGATTACATAGATGAATATATTAAATTAACTCAACTTTGATCACGAATTTTTTAGATACTAGTAGAATGGTGCAGATGTTACTCTTGAAATGTTTTCAGCACATAAAAGAACATTTTCAGCACGCAGGTCACACACACTGTCACGCCCCCCCCTGCTGCGACCTAACCCTGACTTGTGGAAGACTGCCTTGTTTGTGTGGGTTTTTTTTCCCCTGGGTGTGGCTGCGGTTTTTGGTTTCCGGCCCTTTTCCCCTTTCTCTCTCACCTGCAGGTTGCCGGGAGGCGTGTCAGCTGCGAGGAGCTGATTACACACACCTGCACGTGATTTGCACTCCCTCGGGTTCCTGCCCTACTTAAGCAGCGGCCTGACATCCTCTCCTTGCTGGATTGTTAAGTTGTCTCTGTATGTCTTTGCTACCAGCTCGTTTGGTTAGGAACCATACCTGTACTCTGTTTGTTAAGCTGACAACGTCCGTGACCAACTCACCTTCCCCGCCTCCTGGCTCTCACTCTCCTGCCTGTTACCTGTTTGCCTCTCTGCCTGGACCCCATCAGCTTCCTTCACCCGCCTGCCCTGATCCCTGCAGCCACCACCAGCTCCTTGACTCAATAAATCTCTGAGAACCAGCTCTTGTCTCCAGTCTATTCCTGGGTCTTATCTGAAGCGTGACACACACAGTTGTCCCATATTCCTCACCATGCTGGATGATGCCATGTTCAAGAAGCCTCCGTCCCAGCTGTTCTGCCTCCTCCCTGGTTGCCATCTCACCCTCCTGAATCAGCCAGTCGATAAACTCTGATGCCACCAGCGTCCGCTCGAATGCCACGCCCTCTTCCTCCCTGGTTTGTAATAGGTTGTTTTCTGTGTTCATCAACCTGCAGAGTGAAAAGAGCAAATATTTGTTACTTTAATTAGTCAAGAAGCAGAGTACATTACCACCTTACGAGATAAGTCATAGGTCGGCGATCCGTTTACTAAGCTTAAAATTTAGCAACCCACTCCACTAATGGAATTTTGTTTATCAATTTGGTGATGGATATCAGTTCAGCATCTACAGTATAGTATTCTTGACTACATCAAGAAAGCAATGGGAATATGCCATAACACACATTTTGCAGCTTTGGTTTACTGTCTCCTTAGTAACAGCTGCCAGTTAAGTGTTATATGCAATACATACTGAGCTGATGGGGGGGGGTTAATTTTAAAAAGTACGCTTTCTTCAGTGGGAATTTCCAGCAGGGAAAATCTTCCAAATATGCCTATTTCGCCACTCAGCACAGTCAAAATGCACAAACACTGCACTGTTAACTGTCTCTGGGTTAGCACTTTAGCCACATTATTGGAGGCACTGACAATCTAAATTCATGTTATTCAGAGAGCCTCATACACCAAAACCACAGATGAGAAGCATGATAGCAAGGTAATTACATCGAGAAAAAACCTTCGAGATCTGCTTAACTGACAGTCAGTGGAGGTTTTGTGGGCTCAACCTAGCCGGGTGTAAAAGCTCAAACAAGCTGTTAAGATTTCATAGTTTCTACTGAAACTTAAAGTATCACAAATGAGCCTGTTTTACTTTTTTTTTTTTTTTTTTTATAGATGTGCGTAATTCTGAATAGTCTTTATCAAAGGATAACATGAAGCAGGTGTTGTGGTCTCTTTTGGACAACACCAGATGAGACATATGCAAACAAAAAAACAGGCACGCATGCACAGAACAGAACTGCTGACTCTCTCCCAATGCTGGTATCTTAAAAATTTAACGTCAGTCACTCACACCTAAACACTGTTGCCTGAAGATTAAAAATATAAATCAGCAAGCTTTCCGTGACACACCTGTGCATGTCAAAACACGTGAAAGCAACAAACTGTATCAGAGAGATACTAAACGTTCCACATCTTGGTTGGCTGTGTTTTGCTGGCACCATTACATTCCCACACTCTGTTTTAATGGCTATCAATCATTCACTAAACTGTCGCCTCTACACAGCAAACAGTGTAATACAGGCGGACAGATAATTTATGGAAATAATAGCAGCTTGGAGATTTGTAGGAATGATTAGAAACTTTAATGAACTGAAATTATGGAAACCCAAAAGAAAATGAATATTTGCACCGCCATCGTATGAAGCATGTAGGCTCTAAGCAAAGAAACTTCAACAAACACAGATCTAATTATACATTAAACCTGCTTATCTGTGCAGGGTCACACACGCACACCTAAGGGCAATTTAGATTCACTAATTAACCTATTAACTTGCATGTTTTTGAATGGTGGAAGGAAGCTGGAGCACCCAGAGAGAACCCACGCAGAAAGGCCTGGGATGACCAAGTTTCAAACCCCGGACCTTCTTGCTGTGAGCAGACAGTGCTAACCACTGCACCATCCTGCCACCCACCTACTTAGACCAGTCTAAACTGGATAGAAGAGCCAGTGCAAGCTGTACCAACTTAACCTTGGATGTGATTTTTTTTTTCACAATTTCATACCAGATTAGTCAACAGATTAAATGTGACAGTGGTTAGATGTGGGAAATATGCTTATTCACTTTCCTTGTAGAGAGTTAGATGAGAAGACTGATATTACTCTTACATCTATACATTAAATATGAAGCTACAGCCAGGAGACAGTTAGCCTAGCTTAGCATGAAGACTTGAAGCAGGGGAGAGACAGATTGCTTGGCTCTGTCCGAATATAACAAAATTTGCCCATCATGCTTGTAGGAGGATTATGTTACCTTTGGAAAGAGCCAGGCTAGCTGTTTTCAGCCTTTATGCTAAGCTAAGCTAACCAGCTGCTGCCTCAAGCTACATATTTACCATACAGTGGTATCAATCTTCTCATCTAACTCTCAGAAAGAAACTGAATGAGCATATTTCCAAAAAGGTTTAACATTAATGGTAAAACCTCCCGAGCTCAGGAAAACACTTCTGCTTTAGTGAAGCTAAAGGAGGATCCTAATACATGAAATTAAACTAAATAAACCTAATTCAGGTGCAGGCTGTAAAAAGCCTCCTCTCGGCAAAAGGCCTTGGATTCTTCTGAGAGCTTTCTGCCAGCACTATCCTCAGTGTGGTTCATTCAACTATGACTGATAATCCACAGCTGTAGCCCCACATTTCGAGAGAAAAATGAGACATTATTTTATAGCTTGACCCCAGGGTGACACTGTGTTCCTCAAGTTTCAACCCTGTGTTGGGTTAAAAAATAGAACTGCAGTTTAAAAGCATTTAAGGAAATAGGCTGAGGCGCACACCCGGGACTGCTGAAGTACTTCACTCATGTACTCAAGTCAACACACAACAGAAAACATGCCTTGTTTAGATGTCAGATTTTGATTTATTTAGTAGGACAGCTGCTATGGCCCACATTAGCAACCAGCATCATAATACCAATGTTGAAAGAACTGGACATAATGTTCCATGAGACGTGGCTGTGCGCACAAAGCCATTTAATCCATGTAAACATGTTAAGTCAACAGATCATGTTATGTTAGCTCAACGGGATTGACTCCATGTACTGTAACTCAAAGAAAAGCTTAGTGTTGGAATAATAGGTTGTTGGGTATTACATAAGCAATACAGTCTATCATGCCTTACATGAGACTGTATCTACAGTATGCATGAGAACATGATTGTGTTTTTGTCTCGTTTAGGTTAATTTGTTAATTTGCCTGTAGGTTTGATTTAAAAAGGTTATTGAAGTCTCTGGGGAAACTGTTAAAATATGAGAAAAACAACACTATACCTAATTCAGAACCCTTATTCAGAAAACACACATGAAAACACTTTTTTCCCCCTTTATAATCCCATTTCAGTTGCACTGTGGTCACTTGAATGCTAAATTACTCTTACTAAATATATTTCTGTTACACAAACAGACCAGCACACTCATGCACTCTAACACAACCAGCTCTGAACCTTTAATGACATACATCTTTCTCATGTCAAATCTGTTTTATTTGTCCAGCCCTTAATCTCAGTTACAGTCTCCACCTCCTGGAAAAACAAATGATAATGTTACTTACTGTACTTAATGTACTGGACTTTCAGTAGCCATTAGCATTACTAATCCATCCAAGTTAAATAAAATGAAATGTTTTAATGTTTATATCTGTGAAACACGTTAAACCAGTGGTATGTTGGAAAATAAAGGCTGTGTTGCTCTCGCTTTATTTAGCAGCAGAAAAAAGATAAATACATGTTCAGTGTGATGAAGTCTGGAATGCAGAAAAATGGTCACCGATAATGTTAAGCACAGGCAATTTGTAATTTATGGGCTAAAACATGCAATACCACCAGTATGCTCCTTTAAGGACAGTGGTGCCTGGGCAAAGAGAGACCGTCTTTGTTGTTTTTCAAGTTGTCTATCCTTGAAAAGACACACGGAACAGGTAAGCAGTATTTGCCTGTCTCTTTCTCTCTCACACACACTAAAAGTACACACTGACTCAGCAAACGGTCATGCAAAAACACAAAATAAATTCATGTGTCATCAAGTAGTGAGAATAAAGCTCAAATATTGGAGATACTGATCATCGTTCTCTATGCTTGAAGTGACTTCAGTAAACTATACTGAATTGGCGAGAACATAATTTACATTTTATTGCAGGTAAAAGTTTGATTCCTTATTAATGAAGTGGACTAGAGAAGTACGTTTTTGACCTCAAAGTTGCTGGTTTGATACCTACTGTACACTGACAAGATACATTTTGGGTATGGAAGTTAAAAAACAAAGCTTGAACCTTCCTACTTGATTCTACGGAGACGATCGCCCTTCAGCAATGCACAAAGCCCACATCTGCTGCAATGAGGCAACAGAAAAGACTGGTTCTACTGGACCATCTACTGTAGGTGTGGAGATGTGATGAGCAAGGCATTCATGCTCAATGAATCTTTGGCAGTGAAGTGAATGCTTTGGCAATATTGTTGTTATACATTCATGCCAATAAAGCTAATTTGAATTGAATCGAATCAACTACCACATAAATAAAGGCTAGATTACGTTTTCATTAATTTATTCAAAAGGTTTTTTTTCCATTTGACAGTTCAATGTGAGCTGACGAAATCATCTTTAAATCATACTGTTTTATCCACGTGAGTATATAAAACAGTCCACATGGTGAACAATCCTCTCAAAGGCCTGTAAAACACTGTCCTCTCTGACTAACCTTGTCGTAACAACTGTTTAAAAAATGCCTGCCTGTGGTTTATTTATTGTTTATTTGTGTATGCTGATATGACAGTTAACGGCATCAGAGATCAATGCGTGAGATCTGCATGTATGAGGAGGGCTGTTTATTTTTCCCAGTAGAAACTAGATGTGAAACTTGCTGTAGGAAAGAGTACTTGATATAACATACTGTATGATAATGGAGTTTGTAGAGTATGTACGGTCTGTGATTTTGCATATATAGCGATCTATGCGAAATGGCAGTCTATTATTGATTTCCACCTAAGAACACCATCCCCACTGTCAAACATGGTGGTGAGAACGTAATGTTTTGGGGTTGTTTTTCAGCCAGTGGACCAGGGAACCTAATCACAGTAAACAGCACCATGAAAAAGGAGCAATACCTTGGGTACCAGTAGACATTTCAGCACGACAACGACCCAAAACTCACAGCAAACGCTGGTTAGCAGACAAAAACATTAACGTTTTGCCGTGGCCCAGCCAGAGTCCTGACTTAAATCCCATTGAGCATCTGTGGAGGGAGCTAAAGATCAGGGTGATGGCAAGGAGACCCTCCAACCTGAAATGGTTGGAGCTCATCGCTAAAGATGAATGGGGAAAAAAATACCAGTGGAGACATGCAGAAAGCTGGTCAGCAATTATAGCAAGCGTTTGATTGCTGTAATAGCCAATAAAGGCTTTTCGATTGATTATTGAGACAGGTATGAATCATTTAGGACATGCCACTTTTTGTTCAAATGTAAATAAAAGATGAGTAATATTTTTTTCCATAATGATGCCTCTTGTACATTGTCTTATTATCTTCTGGCAGACGCCTGTGTCATTTCTAATCAAGAAACAACTTGCTGGTTGAATAACAGTAACTTTAAGTCAGAATTTGCCAGTGCATAAGAGCCGTACGAGAATCCCCAAACCAACCTGACCATGGCGGTAGTGTCCTGCTTCATCAGCTGCTGTACTGTGCAATTCACCTTTCTACTACTTTAGAGAAGTTCATTTAGTAACACATTTTGACTCCAAACTCTCAAATCCACTTTTGTTAACCAGCAATGAATTTACATTAAATTCAAGACCTGAAACAGCCAAACAATTTTTTTTTTAAATATATTGGAGGTATAACATGTCCATCATCCAGACTAAACTCTGTTAAATAAAAAGGCAAACATTTAACTTAATTTTAAAACCATAATCTACCGCCATGCTAGCGGTTCTGTGAGGCTATACTTTTTCTTTGCAGAATGGTCGAATACTTCCCAGTGACTATCGAATAGTGTTTTTGCTTGAAATTAGGGCTGGGAAATAAAACAATGATAATTATCACAATATAATTTTCCTCAATAACAATATAATAAATGTTCAATATATCGTCAAATATTTGCTTTAATTCATTTGAATCACAAACAAATTAGCACCTAATTTTTCTATTAAAATATTTATTTTGTTGAAAAAAGAGGCCTGAAAAAAGATTAATCATATCTGTTTAAAAATATGATAGTTTGAAATTTAAACTCAGACTTGTAAAGTGATCCACTGTTTGGCATCAAGTGTTTGTCACATTCAGACCATAAAGACAGAAAGTTTAACCACATAATTAACCATCTGGTTTTTAAATTTTCACTGAGGAGCAAAAATCAGCCTTTAAACTTGAAAGAACATTTTTGGCCATATCGCCCAGCCCTACTTGAAATGCCCATCCCTAGTGTATACTGTGGAGGACAACCAAGTGAAGCCAATTTCCTGTTCAAGACCAATAACTTGTATTGGGATGTTTGTGATTATTGGTCCTTGAGTATCCTAAAACCCAGCAAAACCCCTTATTCATTTTATATTTTAAGTACTGAAATTTAATTGAATCTTTGCAAACCTCTTACCAAAGAGCCTAAGCATATGTTAGTGTACAGTTATGAAAACAAGCAGTAGACACATCGGGCCTCATGCAGGCACACAGATTTGTTCTCCTAAATCTACATATGATTAAGGAGAACTTGTCGCATTCACCAATTGTCTTGTGATTTGAATTTTCTCACTTTACAAGTGGTCCAGACCTGTCACAAGAGTCACGTGCAATTAGTCTGCTGTTACCCCAACCAGGTTTTTCCCTAAGGGATTGTATATTTCATTACTTTGAAGGAATTTTGAGTTGGAAAATCCCATATAAATTACATTGACAATTATGTTGACATTATCCTGTTTGACTCTGCAGTTCAAAATATAATATAATTCTAGATGTATTCATATAGCCTAACAATGTCATCATTCATTTAAATTGGCTATTGATGCTATTTTATTGTAACACTATGGTATCAATATGAATATCTCAAACTGCAAAATGTCTAAGGTCAGCTGGAAATGTAATCTTTTGGAAAGATAGACGGCGTGCTGATATATTAGACAGAGACAGATGAATGGTTGTTAAATAGATTAACACGGGCTGTGCTTCTGCAAATGTGAGACTTATTAGAGCTGCAACTCTGCAGACAGACACACAGATCCAACCCTATTCCCTTAATTCCACTGCTGACGCTGTTAAAAATGATTGACTTTCCTTTATTAATCTCCAGAAGCAGGAATTATGAATGAGCACATCCTACCATATAGGGTAGGACACAATATTAGTTATTAGTTATGCTAATTTACAATTCTCGTGGACTCGACTTGTTTGTGCACAGAAGGCATTCATCATGTTTACATGGGTCATTTACACATTGCACGTTATCTGAAGCAAGAAGCATTAGCTGAATCAGACATGGCACACTCGTACGAGCAGTAAGAGAGTTCAGATAAGAATCCGAAAATATTCTTGCATGAGGCCCAATGATCCTTCGCGGATGGGAGATATTTGCAATTTACACTGAGGCACAGGAGACTGGGAGATGGTTGTTCTTCCTGTTGCAAGACTGAGGACTGTTGTTGTGCCATAAGTGTAACCGTGAAGTAACTCTAGTTCACAAGCAAGCAACCACCAGCGCAAGCTTGGGGGTGCTTGTGGTTTGTGTCCCGGCCTGCACCATGGTGATTACATAAACACATAGCTTTGAGAGCGGAGACGACAGATGTCTCCCCTTGGACTATTTCTTATGCAACTCCTGTGTGTGTGTTTGTGTGTGTGCACGTGTGCGTGTGTGAAAAATAGGTCTATATGTTAAGAGAGCACTGATTTGGTTGTAAAGGCAAAGACAGAGTGTGTGCTTAAATCCAAAACAGGACAGATCTCAGACAACTAACGAGAGGAGTGGAGACATACAGAGGAAGACTTTGGGGTTACTATAGAAACAATTAGTCTCATCACTACTAGAAAAACAGCATCATGAGCACAAAGTTAATGACAAACAATGGCAGTCTCACGAGTGGTGACCTCTGCACTGCTCTAAATCCAGCCTGTCTCTGGGCAAATGTTGTGAGTCATCTCTTCCCATATCTTCTGATTTCCCCTGCAGGCTTTTATCATGGTTAAAAACAGTTCAAGTTCAATATTATGCTCTCTAATCTAACAGAATCCAAATTACCAGAAAAACTCATTTTCTAAAAATGAATGGTGGTGGCATTTCCAGTGACTCTCACAAAGAGAACGGCAGGAGAATACACTCATGGCATGGCACGTATGACATGCTACTGCTTGCAAAGTGGCCATGAAGTTGTAAAAGTTTAAACAGCATCAGATTGTCCACTGTTCACAGAAACCAAACAAGAAGATTAATACCACTCTCATGTCTGTACAGTAAACATGTAACACAGCCCGCAGCTGATTAGCTTAGCTTAGCATTAAGACTAGACAATTGTAACAAAATCCACGTACCAACACCTCTAAAGCTCACAAACGATCTCCGTAACTTCCTGCAGTCTCCGCTGGTTGCTTGCCAATTGGTCCCGGCTAAAAAAACAGTCTGACACATAAAAACTCCGCCTTCCCCGATGGCTAAATGTAGTTTTTACACTTTAGCTTTTATTAAGATTAAAGAAACGAGACATAAAGCGTGTTAGAGGTACTGGTAGGCAGATGGTACTACCTTTGGACACAGCCAGGCTAGCTGCTGCCCCGTTTGCACTCTTTATGCTAAGCTAAGCTAACCAGCTGCTGGCAGTAACTTCATATTTATCGTCCAAATATAAGAGGGGTGACTAACATCTAACTTGTGGCAAGAAAACTACAATGAACTATTCTAGGGCTGCAGCTAACGATGATTTTAGTATTCAAAGCTTTTATAGATTATTTCAACCATTCATCAATGCGTCCTTTAAGAAGTACTTTTTCTTGGTTGCAGCTTTCACACTACGTGACCGGTGACAGGGGGCCCAAAAAGGAGAACAACAAACGCTCATGTGCACATTTTCAGCTGAGGATTGCGGCTTACTTTGGCTAGCCTTCAACTCAACAATCAATCATGATTTCAGTTAATTGCTAAAGTTGCCGTTACCGCTGGCAGAACACAGGCTGTTTTTTGTTCAGATGCCATCGTGCTGTTGCCAAGGCAACATAAATTTTGTTTTACAGTGGATGAACAGTAACATTACAGAGTTGTTTTTTTCTTCAGCTTGAAATAATCCCATACTTTGGACTTTCTTCTTTGTCCCTCACTAATTTCTCTCTCTTCCTCCACTTTGCAAACAGCAGCATTATAATTCACGTTGTGTTCACAACGTAAGCGCGATGTGCGATAGTAATAAATGTGCGAAACACTGTTCTGTATAGTTATATGGATTAAACAAAGCATCGAGGCATTTTATTAATCGATTTAATCGATGAATCGTTTCAGCCCTAAACTATTCCTTTAAAAGCTACACGCTAAAAAGATGAAATCAATCAAAAATGCTAAAATCATTACACAACTGTACTAACAGCAATTTCCTATAATCCCTCTCATAATCCACCACGAAGAACATGGCTGGGTGGTTGTGTTTGTGCGTGTTCTTACTTCTCATAGATCCTCTGCCCCCTCATGAAGACTTTGGCTTCACTGTCCAACGGGAACGTGCCGTCGTCTTTTCGGAAGCGGTAAAACAGCTTCAGGTCTTTAAACTCCCGGTGCTCGTCGCACACTGAAAACACACAGATGCATTGATGTTTTCATTTTAAGGGCAAGGAACACAGACGTCATAAATGGATTTTCAATGACAAACAGCCAGAACAAGAAGAGGTTGTTACTAATTGACGCACAAGAACCAGAGCGTTTCATACAGAGGAACACTGTATATAAACAAATGCTATGCTTCCTCTTACTGAATGTTGATATTTTTGTATCATAATAAACACAGAGGGACTTAAATTATGAGAAATTAAATTTGCCATGTACGGAATAGCTAAATGCATTTATTTCAAACTGTCAGCTACAAAGGGCCCTTTTAGTTTACAGCCAGTTAAGTGTTGGGTTTAATTAATGATGGTAGAAAATAGCACAAGCAAACGTGACATAATGGGATTATGGGAATTTTTGATTATGTTTGTTTAAGACAGTCACTAAAATCTACATCATTAAATCATTCATCTGTAGCTGGGATGTGTTAATATTGTGTTGGTTCTGTCTAAACTTCAACTAAAGACAGAAAGACACGGGTGCCCCGTCTCTGTTTTCAGTGTCTGGTCAAATGTGAAACAGCTAGTGAGATGCTACATTGGAGCCAAATTGGCTGGGAGACATGAAGTATCATCTATTAAGAAGAACTGAACGTTCCCAGAAAATGCCAAGAAAGAAAAAAGGAGAGAGAAACTCTCTCTGTTATAGAAAATAGAAAGCAAATGCAAGACTACACCCACACTGCTCAGCCTTACCATGGTGAATGATACTCTGGTCTAAAAGTTTTTGCATAATTTTGATGGCAGTGTCTCGGTCTGTAGCCTCCTTGTGTTCAATCAGCCAGTCAATGAGCTCCTTGGCCACAAAGCAGTTTGGGTACGTTCGCAGGTGGTGCCGCCGATCCTTGATCACCTTCCCTTCATGGAGCCGCAGCCTGGAGTGCAGCAAACAGGCCGTAGAGGAGGGGGAAATGATTGAGAATTTATACCTTATATCAACACCAAAGATGCTCTTTCTGAACAGTCTGTAAACGCTAAACCACAATACAGTGCCCATTCAAAATGTCAATAATAGTAACAATTCATCCTGGAAGTAATCTATGTGGGCCTCATATCATAGATTCATCTATCATCTATCTATCATCTTGTAGTAGAAAATTTAGCTAGGAATAAGCAGAACATTCATACCAGGTCAACTCTACACTGCTCAAAAAAACTTCATCATCATAGTATAACATCAAGTCAGTTAAACGTCAGGGATATCAATCTGTCCACTTAGGAAGTATAAGCGACTATGAATGTGGCCCTTTCCAAAAGTACTTGCTCCTCCCTCCCTCTACTTACTTCCACTCCGTTTGTGTGTTCGCTTGGAGGGTCCGCCACATTGAGTGCCATCCAAAACCAATTAGCACGGAGTGGTAGTGGGTTATGAAACCCTCCACTGCTGAGTGAGCATCGATGCAGGCTTGTCGAAGGTGTGCAACAGCCTTTGCTGCATGATGGAGGAACGTTCTTTAATTTCAGTTCCGTGTGACTACTACCGTAAACATGTAGGTGTTTTAAACACCTAAACTACTGATTGTTCTCTAGTTTTGCGTTTTGCTTGTGTCTTGTCACTACTGGTAGCACGAGGCAGTACCTTCAGCTCATTCAGGTTGCACAGGTAGTCCAACTCCTCCAGGAGGTCAAATATGCCATTGTGAATGTTATGCTGATGTGATAAAAGTAACTAGTTACGTTACTATATTACTTACATGAATGACAGCGGGGGGGGGGGTTATTCTAACGAGCACAAATATATGCTCCTCAATACAGCTCCTTAATCAAAAATGATTTTAAATATGCCTAGTAAAAATGTATAATTATCCAAATTATTGGTTAATTACGGGAAACACTGCTTTCCCTACCACCGGGAAAGCCGGGAGTGCATAGAGGCACATGAAGGCCATACACACTACTGTGTCACATTATGGATTGCCATGATCAAAGTCACACAAGTTGGATCATCCTATGATTTAATTATTTTATATAGATTTTCAGTGTGATTTTGAATCCAGCCCTTAGTCGGTTGGTGATTTCGGTTTCCACTGACCATTGCTACATCATTTTGTTCTCAACAAATCTTTACTGCACATTGTATTTTGCATTTTCAACTACTTCATTCATCGAGATCTGATGAGTGATTTAAGTTTTCCTTTACTTTTTTGAGCAGTGTCTGTTCATAAAGTTAGACACAGCAGTCCTCTAGGACAGAGGTGAATGCATGCTATTCAAATGTTGTCTGCCTTTTTTTATAATGTGACTATATTGCAAAATGTCATAACAACCCTCTTGCGCTTCTATAGCTGCACTAGATGCTGCTTTCACGTCATCAAGATGACCTCTTTCTGAACCTAAGTATTGTGAAACAGCCCATCACTGCCTTGCCCAAGCTTCCTGCAGCCAGCTAGTTCCACTACATGCTGAGTCTTTGTGCAGCTGGCTAGCATCACTCCGGATTAGCAATGACATCCCCAGTCCAAGGTTGCCCAGTAAGTACACACACACTGTGCTGTAAATACTTGAGATATGCAAACAAGTTACAGACTTCACTTCCAACCAGGTCCATCAATATCCCCTACTCCTCCTTTGGCTCAGTTTCAGAAGTAATCAGTCTAATCTACCCACAAATCATCTCAAATGGAGCTCAAAGCAAAATCATTCTTCTTGCCATGTCCTTATACGAGGCTCAGGTGGCAGACTAGTTGCTGTGATAGGTGTACTTACTCTGATGGTTACTCTATCTAATAGCATTTCTGAAAGTTGTGCTGGATCAAACAATGACAAGCAGGAGTATTTCTGAATGAATGTCTGGCTCGCAGTAGACTATAATGATGCTGAGTCCCAGACTGAAAACATTCACCAAGCCTGACTCTCTCTTGCAGTCTACCATGGTGCAACAAACGGTCTATTCACAACTATGAGCTGGTCACTGGACTTACCACAGCAGCTGCATGTTTCTGTGTACCATGGTATCCATCTTTGTGTCTGTTTTTCAGCCCTGAAGCACATTTACTCTAAGATACGAGCTATCGACATGATGGGACACGAATGTGCGATAAGATAAACAGAAAGTGTACTGTTATCAGTACCAGGAACAATATCACTCATGTGCTATGAGCTTGACACGTGAATAAAAAAAAGATCAAACAAAGGTGTGGATTAGGTACACTCTTTGCTTTTATACCAGCAGTGTTTCATATCAGGTCTAATCTTATTTTCGTATATTCTACAGTTCACAAAAAGAAATTGAATGCCACTTTCTCACTCCCTCTTGTCATGTAATTTGGTCTGATTTAGACCAAAGGACAAAGCTAAAGCAGGGAGTCCAGTTAAAACACTGAGGGAGAACTGTAATCATTAAACTGACCGGTGTGTTTCATACTAGACGATGTAACAAGAATAATAGCCTACAGCCATACCAGTGGCTATTTGAGAATGTACTTGGCACAGCGGTATGTGGAGCTCAAGGATAACAATGCTCACAATGAAAATACAACATGCTGATGCTAAGCAGGCATGTTAGCATGGTAACACTTGCAAATTAGCACTAAATACTAAGTACATTTACTCATTTTATGCTGACGCTTCTATCTAAAGAGACTTACAATTTCTATTGCAACTGCTGAGTACAGCTGAGGCTGACAGTAGGAACATTATTGGTTTTGTATACATTTTCACTAGCCTGTGACAAATCTGCGAGGTCACGGTTTATTTGCTCTGGCAGCAAATGACCCGCTCACCTACCCAATTCAGACAGATTTCCACCCATCCAGTTGGGCAAATCACAACTGTTTATGTAATATGGGGCAGGTTTGATACAATTACTGTACATTTTTCAGGTATGCTTGTTGTTGCAGTGTGTACCGTTATGACATCATTACATCAACAAGTCAGAATATTTTCATTATCACAATATAATTTTCTTAAATCATATTAAAGTTTATTCTGATACATATCGTGATACGATATGTTACAGCACGCATCTCCTGCCGCTGATGTATAGCTGTTTCTGTTCAATCTGCTATTGCATGAGTATTAAAAAAACCTGACTGCATATTTTCTCTAAAAGAATAACAAACTACTGCACTTAAAGCTTCTGCTGACAAGAAAGATGTTTGCCGGCGTACTTCCAACTAACTTTAATTTACCAACAACGCCAAGTCACATGTTTTGTTGCTCATTTTGGTCTGAGCACAGTGATAACGCCCCATTTGCGATTTAAGTCTGGCGATGTCAGGCTATGTGTTACCAAAATATTATTGTTATTATATAATAATAATAATGTCAACCTCATGTTGGCACTAGAGGAAAAGTCAGGGGATCAATGAGAGTCATCTTCTGGGGACCATGAATGTCTGTACAAAATGTCATGGTAATCCATCCAATAGTTCAGACATTTCAGTCCGGACCAAAGTAGGGCGCCGACCAACAGAACAACATTGCCATCTCTGGAGCCATGCTGCTCATGTGGCTTAAAAAGCTCATAGGCTGACTGCTGTTTGTAGAATAGGCAGAAAGAAAGACATTCATGTCACAATCCTTGAGTCCTTTCCCCCAGAACAGCAGCGTCTCAGAGGCAGAGGAGTCTGGGACAGCTACTGACAGCTGGCAGCCTCAGTATACAGCTGTGCCAGGGACACTGACACACACACACACACACACACAGAGTACACAATGACAAACAGGAAAACACACACTGGTGCTAAAAGTACACCGAAGAGTTTGTGCAGACACAAACCATTAATCTCTCGAGGTGATGACTATTACTTTTTATGGTTCTTGTGAACAGGACAATGTTACAGCATGGATTTCTTCACGAACAACAAAAGCTCTTACTCAGTTTATCCCACCAAGCTGGAAAACACAATTCAGTGGCACATTTCCTCACAGTTCAGTGGGGGCCTGAAATTCCAGGCATTGATGCCATGCTTTACCCACTGAGTCTCTATTCATGGCTGGTGCGCGTCAGCCAGCGAACACCACTGGCGTTCTGGGGCCTTTCTTTACATACAGTAGGTCAAAGGGTACAGCATGTCAACAACACTGCCAGCATTTGTAGTATAATACCCTGATAGGATGAATGGGCAGGGCATGATAATGATATGGGGTTAGTAGGTGGATCATTCCCTGTGCAGCTCAAAGGGCACTGCATTACTGGAGCAACAAAAACTACTGACGTGTTCAGTCTCAAACAGGAACCCTAACCTCAAAACAGGATTACTATGCCTTGGGCTAAAATGTGTATGTTACAGTATACAGGTGAGGAGCAGCAATGTGCATGGGGATGGCTGTGCAGGTGTGGACGCCTTTGTTTGGCTTTGCATGCTGCAATGGATCTGAAACAGCCTGTTACAGTTACACAACACCTACTTTTTCGTCATATTCTGGTTTATTATGATCTGCGCCACACAAAACATGCAATACTGAACATGAAAACTAAGAAATATTATTATATTAATAAAGGATTTAGTGATTTTCAGGTTTATTCATTCACAGCTGCAAGTTTGGTGCTCAGTTTGCAGATTATCCTGACCAAAACGCCACAGTTTCCCTCAATGTCTGGCCAACAGCACACTCGGGGTCATTGGGGATCCCGGTAGAGACCGACCTACCTCAGCTGTTCTCCAGTGACGAGCACCTCGGCCAGCCGCTCCAGCTCTGCAGCCTTCTTCTGCATGGTATTCCCGATCCGGTCCATCTCTCTGCTAAGAGGCACAGAACCAGGGTGTTTTTGCTCAGCCACACACAAATTCATCATGCAGGGAAAATGCATCAGTCTTGCATTTTTGTAAAATGAGCAGAAATGCTGTGCAGCAAAATGTGCACCAGCAGCTTTCTAGCTGACAAAAACACAGAAAGGTGGGGACGAATGGACTGAAAAACAAAGGCATGCAAGCATCCACGCGGGGACGATTTCGCAGAGTAAACAATGCACTGACAGCTCGCTTTTTGCTTACCCTTCAAGCACCATTGAGAGCGAAAAGAAGAGCTTATCAATTATTCCTTTGATGAATGAGGAGAGTTACTTCATCCCAGGAAACATGTGCAACAATGCAGGCAGTCACAAGTCACACCCCAGCCTCAGTGTGCCAGCAGCTCCATCAGCAGCGGTCCACTTTGAATTGCTCGAAAACCTCCAGATATCTGCACACCCACACACATACATTAATGCATGCGTGCACGCCGAACTCGCTTTGTGTATTCCTCTACAATGTCTGTAAAAACAGCCGAGTGCTCTTCTTCGCGCTGGGTCGGTCTGTTTGGCACTGACACTGACACACCACACGAGATGAACGCACGTTTTTCACCACGGTACAGCCAGTGCCCATCCACAAAGCCCCCGCATTGGGAGGACTCTGCTGTCGTCACTTGGGGGAGTTAACCGTAGGGGCGGGGTTACAGAGGCGCTCGATTCACACACCGCCCTCTCCTGGAAAGACTTAAAAGACTGGGACACAAATCGAATGAAATTAGATTTATTAAACAAAGAACTCGAGCTTTTCGGAAAAAGATTATGACCTCATTTTTGTTAATAATGATGGTTTTTGGTCTAGCTTTCCACTAAAGGGGATACTTTAGCTCTATAATGTATGTGAGAACGTTTTGTCTTTTCTCCTTCCCAGTCCCAATTCACCTTTCCATCCGTTTTGCTCAATATATGAGAGTATTTTTCTCCTAAGTGACTTGGTGGTAAGGTGTGATTGTTATGACGTTTTTTTTTCTTTGCAAAATTACTGAAAATGTGAACAGGATCATTCTGAGTAGCTTTAGATTTAGTTTTATTCTTATTATATTTTAGATAAGATTTTAGTCTTATTATATAAGTGTGCCAGAACCGATTTCCAAAAGGATGTGTAGTGAGAAAAATGAGATCAGTGAGAGTTCACTTGCATGCATTTATTCTCATTCCAGAAATACAAATATTATACCCAGTAATAAATATGATGGGAATAAAATGATATAAAATAGTAATTGTAGCAATACAATATACAAACAAAATAATAATAATAATAATGCCCACATATTGTGTAACTAAAGACTGATGTCATTTCTATCACAACTGCATTGCTTTCTTGACCCAAACATATGTTTAACAGTTCGTTTTCAAACTTCAAACTCTGTTTTAGGTGTTCGGATTCCCTGCTTCAGTCTGGACAGCAGGCGTAAACACAGCAAAAGTGCTGTGTTTTAAAACAAAATCCTATTAGTGTGGATGTAGCCCAAGGCATCAAGATTTACATCCGTCAGTTTAACGGGATGCGTGAACTGCCTTCTATGTGAACATACAATTACCCGGAGAGGAATACAGTTCCACGTGCCAGCTCATGCTTTACTTTTAATAGAGAAGAGCACACCTTCAAAAGTCCGGCATGAAGTGGTCAACTTCCAGTGGAGAAAACATAATGCAGGGCCCCATAGGGTGTCCTTCCAATGGAGAAAATGTGATGCAGGGCCCTCTAGAGTGCCCTTCCAGTAGAAAACACAATGCAGTCCCAAGTAGGTTGCCCTGCATGCTAGAAAATTAGTTATTGATGAGAGAGTGACAGAAAGAACACTTGTTAACTTTTAAGATGCATGGCAAACTAAGCTCAACAGGCTACATACAGACAACTTTCATTTTAGCTTGTTTGTAACAATTTTCTATTAGCTGGCATGCTGTGCTTTTTACTCGTGAAGGTTTTATTGCACTTACTTAGAGTAACAAGCGAAACATCTATTTGATCCACTTGATCTGCTCGCTCACTGTATTCTGCATTTGTGTGTGTGTGCAGATATAAAGAGTCTGATGTACACAGGGTGGGAGAAAGGCTGCTGCATGATTATAAATTAAACAAATAATTTTGGTTTTGTGGAAATTGTTTTTGTTGTTGTTGTTCATAAATCAGATTTGTGTATGCTGGAACACCCAGAAGTTGCTTCTGGGAAGATTGTGGCTGGCGATCTGCCAATTGGTTAGGGTGGGCTTTGAGACTTCCTCATAGGCATCCTGTAACAGGATGTGTATGAGTCACAATCTGGGCAGACGGACTATGACAGAGAAGCTCATCGACCCCTCTCATTGATCTACCAATATGTTCAGGTAATTATTGTTTAAGGTTGATTTAATTGCGTGCTGCATGATCTGTGAATTGCATTCCTCTTTTGAAAATGATATAAATACAACACAAGGTTGTACAACGTATTGAAAGTTTGTAGTCCCCCGTTGCTACACTCAAAGAACATAGAACCGTTAGTACTTTAATGTTAGTCTTTGAAATATTATGTCAGACTGAGATAAGTTCATGTGAAAATTCTTTTTTGTCACTGCAGAGTTTTAAGGAGGAAAAGAGCTTTCTTGTTGGTGGGAGCTCTTGTCATGGTCCTTTGTAAATATTGCATACACCACAAAACCATTCACCTCAAAGTAGATGTGAGAAAGGATGAAACAAAGTTACCCAGTAAAAATACCTTCTATGTATACCCATGGCCAAGATGTACAAAAAAAGGTGTCTGCTGCCAGCATCACAAACTTCAGATCCCTTCCTGATGCCATACAAGACTTTCTCTACTATCGACACTGTCGACATTTTCCCATGCTACTAGACATTCCTGACAAATGTGGGGGAGCCGATGCATCCCGCAAAGTCTTCCTTCTACTGGTCATTAAAAGCGCCCCTGTAAACTACAACCGCCAAGAGGTGCTGCGCAAAACCTGGGCTAAAGAGAGGTTACACAGTGGTGTGTGGATCAGGAGGATCTTCCTGTTAGGAACAATGGATGCTGGTTTTAAGAAAGAGCGACTGAACAAACTCCTAGAGCAGGAGCAACGCGAGTACAAAGACATTCTCCAATGGGACTTCTGTGACACATTCTGCAACCTCACCTTGAAGCAGATACTCTTCTTAGAATGGATGGAAAGAAACGCTTCCTGCTAAATGGTGATGATGATGTGTTTGCCAACACAGACAACATGGTTGAGTATCTCTAAAGCCTCAAGGACAATGATGGCAAGAGGCACCTCTTTACTGGCCATCTGATCCAGAATGTGGGGCCTATTAGATTACCATCAAGCAAGTATTTTATTCCAGTTCAGGTGCAGGAGTCAGACTCATATCCCCCCCTACTGTGGTGGTGGGGGGTTCCTCTTGTCTGGCTATACAGCTTTGGTCATATACAATATGTCCCAGTCCATTATCATTTTTCCCATTGATGATGTTTACATGGGAATGTGCCTGGCCAAAGCAGGACTTAGACCTGATTCCCATTTTGGTGTGAAGACAGCAGGACTGCACTTTTCCCTCCTACAAAGTCGATGAACATGATCCTTGCTATTATAAAGGAGTTCTACTTGTTCACAGATTCCTTTCAGCTCAAATTTATCTTATGTGGCACAGAATACATGCTTTAACAGTACCAAATACTAACTTAGACGTGGTGACAGAGCTTGTTGACACTAACATACACTCACTGGCCACTTTATTAGCTCTTGTTCAGTCTAATGCAATTCACAACAACAGGTCTGCTATAAATTCTATATTCACAAAGCTGGTTGCATTATGCATTATATTGAGAGATGTTTGCACGATATTGCCACCCTCATGTATGTTAACTGGATGGACAAAATGTTATAAACACCGATAATGCTTCAGATTACACATTACAGTATTATGGAACATCAATAAAATACTCACTGGGCACCTATGTATTTTAAAATTGTGATACATTTACTTTGGGAAATGACAATTATTATTTTTATCAATATTAAATACATTTTGTTGCTTTGGAACAAAACATTTGGTTAAGCCTGCAAAGGAGGGTATACCCTTATACCTTCACCTTTATATGTATTTTTATCATGTTTTTAAAATGATTTAAAAAAATACAGGGGAACAATAAGGTAGTTTGGGGTGATATGTAAGATCAAAACTGCTGTTTTAAGTTCAGCTTTTATGTGGAGTGTAGGCTAGTTCATTCAGAAACAAACTTTGTTTATTGAGCAACATATAGTAGGCCTATAAAGAATAGCATGTAAAGCTATTCACAACTCACAATATTTATCAGTGTTCTCTGTTTTAACCACCTTGTATGTAAAGCATGCTCAAGTGATTCAAGCTGAAGTAATTTACATTACTTTTTAGTAATGCAGTGCCATCAAGACAACCCACTGAACATGAGAGAAATCTCCCTTATTGTCATAGCGTTTGGTGGATATCAAGGTCCGACCGCGACATCTGCTGGCTAATAAGGGCATTGCGGGAAATCTTTTTTGTTTAGTTTTTAGATCATAGATTTGAGAATGCCACATTATCTAATAATACATAACAGTCAACAGGTTGTGGCAGAAACATAACACGACCCACGATTCAGAAATCGTAGAAATCGTTTAAGTTAGTCGTTAGGCTACTAGCAAGAGCGTAGACTTTGGCAGAGACGATCCATACCAATGTCCAGCGACGACTGAACTGTCCCTACCAATAATTTAGATTAAAACAATTAACGTTACATATAACCACTGTTGTCCGTCAGCGTCTAGTTATGTTTATTTGGTAGACACACGGTTGACATGGCTTGTTCTTCCCACGAATCCAATGTTTTCTTTGTTTTGTTTTAAGATAATGTCCTCTCCCTTCATGCGCCTCACAGTGGTTTGGTCCGCTGCTTGACTTACTGACCCTTTTCAGCCCCTCAGCTGCTTTATTGCTGAAGTCTCATCGTTCCCATCAACAATAACAGCTTTGTTAATTTTAAGAAGAACATATGACTCAAAAACTCCTTACTCGGGCCAGTGGCGCAATGGATAACGCGTCTGACTACGGATCAGAAGATTCTAGGTTCGACTCCTGGCTGGCTCGAAATTTTCATATTTAAAAAAAATATTTGTGAGAAACTTTTGACTGAAAAATGTTCCAGCCATCTAGCACTAAGAACCGAAACGGAAACTCACTGAAACAAGCGATCATTATTATACACAGGCTGAGAGCTTGATACGCGTCTGACTGCGGATAACAAGATTGGCGGTTCGACTCCAGCTTAGGGCTGTACCCCATCGAAGTAAGCAAACTGTGTTTAAGTGTTTTGTTTTTATTATAATGCCTACAGTGTCACTTTGGACAACATGACTGTCCACTACTGCAGCAGGGACTAATGTCTGAATGCAGGCCTATAATGCATGAATTACACTGTGGACCCGTTAATCAAATAATGCATCAATGTTAATAAATATTAAGCAGATGTACTTGTAAAAGTAACACTATATATATATATATATAATATATATAGAATTGTCTTCAAAGAAAGCAAGACATCAGGGTTTGTAGTGTAGAAATCGATATATACTCCCACCTAAATGTTATATTAATAGCTATATAGTATAATAGCAACTATGTAATATATAATTAGACTTTGAACATTGTCCAAATATGTCTTACTTTAATTTGGTGCTCCCTCCTGCCACCTTGTTCTTGTCAGTGACCGTGAAAGTCAATCACGTTTCCCTCTGCAACCACATAGGGAAAAAAACAAATCTACCAGGATTTGCGTGCTGTGGTCAATCAGCACTCCTATTGCTACCAAGATTTCACCAAGAATTGACCAATCCCTGTGCCAAAGAGACATTGCATGAAATAATAAATACAAAAAGTTAGACAACGATCAATTACAATGTTTCACATTTTACCAACATATCAAAAGTAACTCACTCCTTTATGGCTGTTGTGAATACAAATACATTGGCATATACTGTATGTATGTTAAGGAATAACCTGTGGCTTAGTAAAGTTAATGACTAGCTACCATAACTTACCTGTCCAATCACATACAGCTTGCTTTCCAATAGCGATTTCGATACATCCTACTAACATTATGTTGATGCAAAGTCAATTTAACTTGTATATCTGAGAGACTAACTTGCCTGTTGATGATATTAGCTAAGTTAACATTAAGATACAAACAGTTTTACTCCTGCTTTGGCTGGCCTATATTTCATTTTATTTTAGCTAGTCATGCAGTTACAGATTGTAAATTCATAAATAAATAGCTAAGTTAGTACTTATGCTAAAAGACCTTTGTAAAGTCCATGTCCCTTTTCCCTTATCCACTACGCCTTACTTACTTGTAGAATCCTCTTTGTCCCAGGTGGGACAGAAGCTGTGTTAAATAATAGTTTTGATAGCAAGCATCACTCCAATATGATGCTTTACTTTTGTATGTGTAAACCTACTTAACAATAAAGCTGATTCTGAGGTTTTGGTCTTGGGTCGATGATTAAAGGTCTCAACAAACCAGACGAAGTGGCTCCTCCTGAGGTACAGTTTGTCGGCCGAGACTGCTGTGGCAACACTCTTCTGAGGCAGGTGTTTGAGGAGTGGGAGCAAATGACCATCCGGTTAGACATATAGCTCTTCATGCAGAGATTTGTTGTGGGTTTCACCACTGACTCTCACCAGTTGTATGCCACCTTCATGAGTCGCCTACATTGGCAAGTGACAACTTCCTCCAGGTGTATCTTTTAGATGCACCTGCACATTCCCACAACCATCTTCAGTATTCATGCAAAAATAATTGCTGTCCCCACCTACACAGAAAGAAACACCTGCTGCCTCCCCAAGCATCTGTGGAGCACACTAGCATGTATTTGTTCTCACACTAACTCTAACTGTATATTGGTCACAAAGACAAACTTAAACTAAATATTTACCTTTTTTCATGTAGACTCTGAAGGGTCCATATTGCACGATTAAGGTCCCAGTTCTTTTTTAAATGTACATTATATGTTTGTGAACAGAATCTGGGTTATGTTGGCTGTGCTCTCGAAGGTTTATTAGCCTTCATTGCTGCTATCATAAGTTCTAAAATTATTTTAGGATTATATTATATTAGGATTCTTTTGGACGTGACAATATTAAGGGTTGAGGCCGTGCAGAGTTTTTGGGTGGCCTCAGGGAACACTGTCTTGCCTTGACTGAAGAGTGCGCCCAGGTCATCACCCTGTGGCAGTCGTTGGGAGAGTATGAGAAGACCGTTTACCCACCATGTCATCAAACCACCCTAAGACAGGGGCGATTCAGGGCCACTTAGCAGATTGTGCCACCAGGTGTGGAGGGCACCAAAAGTATGTTAAATTTAGCAAACACAGTCTCTTTATTGTCTAAAAATTCTTAGAACAACTGACACTCATCCATCCATCAATCCATCTTCATCCGCTTATCCGGGGTCGGGTCACAGGGACTGAATGTCCAGCTTTATACTTTTACTTAAGTTTATTAAAGGATCCCTATTAGCTGACACCTTGAAAACCCATCTTATCTTCCTGGGGTTCAAAACATATAAGACATATACAAAAGTTCTTTAAACAATAACAAATAAAAAGCATTTATTTAAAAAAAAAACAAGACAACATAAATGCAAAGATATTAAAATGTACATCTAGACAATACAAAACAATGTAGACAAACTTAAAAACAGAACAAAAAAAGGAAAACTACAATAAAAATTACACAGAGGGTAAGGATCACACATTGAAAACAATCTTATATTAATAATATGTATTCTGCTGTAATTTGCAGCTGTTTCATAATTTGGTCCCGCACATTGGCCTGACTGCAACAAAAAGGTGAAGGCACCTGCATAAGGTAAATCTACATTTTTTAAAAAGTGAAAGTTACAAATTACATAAGAGAGTGTGATCACTTTCTATGTGATCATAGCTTTGTCACACTGCTGCATCCCAGTCATGATCAAATAGCAACTGATCCCACAATCTCTAGTATTATAGCTGAAGTAAATGTTTTGTTAATACAGGTCGTTTTATATTTTCGAAGGTTAGGCTGGTTTTGCGTATGGCGATATGGGAGATTCTGAAGCAGGGAATCACCAGACGCACCCACGCCAGGACCTGGGGAGCTTCCTGCGGCTATTCTCAAAAGGACCAACTCTGCATTCTGGCAATTTAACTGAGCCTCACCTTTTCATCCTGCCACCAAACACTGCTGGGGAGGCAAAGCTCAAGGAGAGACCGCAAACTCCAAACAGGCCATCTCTCCGGCCCCAACTCCACATCACACACTTGACTGTGTCCTTTAAGGGCTGCACAATACATATTCCTTGTCTTCATCTATATTGTGGTTTCAGCTGCACACTTGAAATTACATCAGGAAGACATGGGTTTAATTTAAGTTTGTTTTCATTGTTCATGTTTAGGTTAGTGCTTCATCAGAGGCAGAGGTTATGAGCACACACACTTGAAAAAATGTGGGCTATCGACCAAATTCTGCAAAATGTGCACTGTGTGTTGCACAGCAATCTACAGGGCAGTGCTGGGGACGACAGTCTGCATGCCTGCAGTGCCACATTGGACATGACTGTTCAGGGCTGAATGGAAATGGACTGTATTAATGCATGAATTATACTGTAAACACATTGATCAAATAATGCATCAGTGTTGTCAAAGTACCACTAAATAGATATCGGTCTTCACTGAAAGTAAGATATATGGATTTACTAACAAATTCAGGTGTTTCTACTGTAAAAAAGGGTCAAATTAAAATAGAAAGTTGGCCCATTGCAATGCATTTATTAAATATTTTCTTTACAGCAATCATACAACACACGTATATGTTTGCTCTTCATTGTAACTACAATTGGCTATGAAATAAGGACCTGAAATGACAAGCAACAAGTATTAAGTTAGTAAACTCATGAATAATATAAGGATGGCAAAGTAGGCAATCAAAACAGTACTTCCCATTGCAGATCAGATTAGTATTTAAGAGGTTTTGCGCAAAGAATTTAACACAAATAAAGGAATATAGTCCTACAATATATATCCTTTTTTAAATATACAATGTTTGTAATGTGGTGTATAACATATGCTTTTGACATTACAGTTTAATATAATGCTCTGCAGCTGGTGAAAGGAACAGTGAACCCTTATGAGGAAGTAATGATTGATGGGTGTACAAAGAGTGAACTCTCCTATAGAACTTGACCACTGACTCAGAGCTGGAGAGAGGCACAGTGAACCCTTAAGGGGAAGTAATGATTGATGGGTGTGCAAAGAGTGAACCCTTCTATGAAATTTGACCTCTGACCCAGTGGTAGGGGGAGTAGAGGTTAGTGTGTATGAAGGGACTGTGCCCTTATATGGTTTTTAGCAGAGACCTAAACATGTCCTATATAAGCTGTGTTCGATGTACAGAGAGACAGAGTGGTCATCGGGCTGGGTCACTCTCCAAGCTGCTGCAGAGCTTGTAATTGATGCTGAATTCTTTGATGTAATAAACTTTTATAATCAAGAACAGTGTCAAGCGGATTTCTTCTCAACACATCACGCAGCATTATCGTTCGGACACCACAGTAACAAAATACATAGATGTCCAGGCCTAATACCAACATCTTCATCGGTAAATAGAGAGTTTGCAAATCTGTCTGTCTGCTTGGAGCAGACTGTATGTGACAAATATTGGCTTATTGGTTTATTTACTACAGAACAGTATAACCTGGAAAAGTACAAAATAAGCATTCTTACTCAAATTTAAGCAAGACAGAAATGTCATAAAAATGTTTACATGGCTGTGAATTGGTAAGGACACAAAGGTGTAGCAACATCAAGGATAATGGCATTATTTAACATTTCTATGGAATGGTTGTGTATAAAAATGATTGTTTGATCTAATTTATTGCATAATGGAATTTGTATATGGAAAAATACCAACACTCAAGGCTCTGGTTATCGCTGTTAACCACTTTGAGAAGAAAACAAACCCTTTCTATAAAGTGGTAACTGGTTAACAAATTGAAAACGATTTATTGTTATGCTATGACTTTTTAAAATAATGTTCAAATAATGTTACTTTCTATGTATTACTCATATGTAAATACATACAAACTGATATTATTGCATGTAGAAACGTATGGTGGAGGCACTATAGGCATCCAGACTATCACATGATTAAACCAATTATTTCCATTAATATCTTAGTTAATGAGCCAGCAGATGATCCTTTCTCTCCGACTGAAACATTAGGTAGCTGTGATTTGTCTCACATTCAACAGTGGACTTAATTATATTTTGTGTAAATGATTATCATTATTAGAATCTTCAGGCAGATGATTTATGAATCAATCTTGAAATTAAATTCAGAGCTGAAGTGCAAACGTGAAGTTGAAGGTACACCATATCTAAAACAAGTTGACTATCAGATATTTACACAGCCAACACAACTGATATTTACATAAAAAACAACAACATGGCAACACCTGCCAAGTATGTATGCAGAATATAACATAATGCTTAACTGCATTCAAAGTAAGGTTTTGGTGTACTTCATTATGGGGTCAAAACCTCATGAGGCATAAACTTCATTAACATTCCTGTGAAAATACATATCAAACCACAAGTATGACCTGATGCATTGCATGAATCAATCCTCTACAACAAGAATTGTACATCGCCACCACTGCTGTCTGACACTCTTGTGGCAACTCCTCTGTAAATCCACCAGGTGTCTCACTCCACCTACAGAGGCATTAGTAGGAGGAGGCGCCGCTGGAAGAGGAGCAGCCCAGCTCGATGTTCTTCAGGTGGCAGGAGTGGCAGAGGAGGTGGCCGTTCAGAGGGTAGCAGCGGTGACCCTCCTCGTCGTTGAGCTCCATCTTACATTCCTGAATATCACAAAGGAGGAACCACGGATGAGACGCCTCCACTGAAAGGTTACTTGAGTTTGGATAGAAGAACTGAGGAGAATTTGTGTGATTTCTGACCTCATTTCCAACCACTAAAAGATTGGACAGCAATAACTGCCTCAGAGGTGTTGTGTTTACAAAAGGACTGAAACTGCTCATTATTAGCAAATCTCAAATCTGTGCATACAGAGAAAAAAACATGGATTCTTTATCTGTGTTATGGCTTACAGTGTTTACAAAGACAATATCCTAATGTCAAGATGCTCCTCTCTGAGCTACTACTATGATTAACAAAAAACGACTGGAAGGATGCAGCCACTCAACAGTTAAACACTACTAACAGGGAGCTGCTCTTCACAGCCCACTGATTTTTATTCGTGAAAACAGAGCAGCTGTCAATCAGCCTTTGGCAAAAAAAGAAGAGGCACTTGAGTAAAATGATGAGATAGGGATGATGAGGTGTTGCATACCTGCTCTCCAAAGCAGTATGTAATTAGCACAGAGACTGTAATTAAGATTGGGGATCTACTCATTATGATTTCTCTTAACGAGCCATTCAGAGGGTCCCTGGCTCAGAGCCATTAAACATGCATATTTCATTTTCCAGTTTTGTAACAGAGAAATGTGACGAGTTTTAACCCACCTCACAGTGATAGCATTCCACGTGATAGTCCTTGTCCATGGATACAACACGAACGGTTTCGTCAGACCCCTGGAAAGAAATTCAGACAGACAAACGCAGCTGAAACCAATCTCGCCAAAAGACACTCCTCCATCTTATTCTGTTCAGTCTGACAAAAGCTTCAAAAGGTCGATAAAAAGTGTGCGCACACTGTCAGCCAAGAGATGAAATGTCTGTACTTTAAAGTACTTCTCTGCATCACAACCTTGGAGCTTACGGGTTTGTCAACGGCCCTTTTACTATCAGTGGAGTTCCATTATAGTTTCTGAATTTACTTTTCAACAAGTCACACTCAAAATAGGACTTAGAAATCACATTAGCAAAAATATATATAGACACAAATATGGCTGCAAGGAGCCAAAGATTGTAGGAAATCATTTGCAAATCTGTCCAAAGATCCTATATCTCAGATTGTGTGATGTTTGTCCTCCTGATTATTCATGTCAAGTGTTATTCATACAGTTTAAGCCTGAGAGGGAACTGCCCTTAACATCCATCCAGCAGCTTACATAAATGCACAAGACAGACATAACCCCCTTCCCCAAGAGACACACACACACACACACACACACACACACTCGCACACACGCTCTACCTCTCCTCTAAATACTGGCCTCAATGCTTACTCAAAGGGGAGGGCACGGGACATTCCAGCAAAGTCAAGTCTAAGTTTGGACATTTCTTTGCTTTTGCCAGCATGTCCTGCCTGTGTGAACTTCTCCCTACTATCATTCTGCTTTCTTCCTTAACAAAACATCAAATCAAAGCCCAGAGATATTAGGCCTCACATAGTTTTGACCTGTAGTCTACTGGGAATATGGCTGTATTGAAGTACTTGCTACTTGTATGCCAAGTTCTGTGTTTGGGTCATAACTGAGTTAACATGAGCACATAAGGACTCGTCACCTGCTGGGCTCCTACTGATTAAAAGGTGGACAACCTCTAGATTTATGAAGCTGATCACTCACACCATGCTGGAATTCATGTGACACTCCCTCTACATTGACATTTGTCTTTGTGGCTTTGAAGGTGCTAAAAGACTACAACTGATATCGTATAGTCACCACTAAATATTCCCCAGTGTCAGGTTAAAAAAAATCCAAAAATTAATGCTCATATTGTTATGTACATCTACATTTCAGCCAGTCAAGGAAATTAGGAGACCTGGCATTCATCTCCCAAACATAAAACCTATGCCTTAGTCAACAGCCACTCCTGAGTGTATTTAAAGTTGATACTGGAATGTCACAGTGAGTTATCACAGTGACTTGTAAACTAAGAAGTAAGGCATTTGTGGCTGGGGTAACAGGACTTGCTATATAATGCAGTGACATTAAAACTGTCAACATTCCTTTTAATTAACACAGGGGTTCCCTGTGGAACTGGTGAAGGTGCTGACCATGAACCGCAACGCCCAGTTTAAATCCAACCCTTTGTTGCATTAATTCCACATCTTTCTCTCCCCTGACTTCCCGCCTTTTCTATCAACTCACTGATAAAAACATAACATTCCCAAAACATATATGTTGTCAACATACATACTGCTCATGTAACATGACACCAGAACCACCATAACAAAACAAACACACAACATACACGTGGTATTATACTGATTATCAAAGCATTACTTCAAATCAGTAGGGTAAGACAAGATATCCAACTAGGTATTCAAAATCCTATGTTAAAAACTTCATACCAGTGAGTTAAATGGTTTTAGTTTTTCTTTAGAACAAAACCTGAATCTTCAACATTTTAAATAATGTAAAACTTTAAGATCTCAACCTTTTTTAAAACTTATTATTGATTGAGACAAGTGTACCACAATACCTTGATATGAGAATTTTGTCAAAATATAATAATACAGAGAGACAGCATATGAAAATATTTTATCATGACCCAGTCCTGAATAAAGGCGAGTGTTAGCTTACCTCTGAGGGCAAGATGGGCTGGTTACAGGCTGCACATTTAGGCGCCAGGACCCTGACAGGGTTAGATGCATAGAGAAACAAGTTTTTATAGATTTGTTTGAACTGCACTCAAATAAGTGAACTTGAGTAACTTGAATTCACTTTATCCAAAGACTATAAAGGTCACAGTTCATATTTGGTGTTACTCTCGCAACAGGAGCCTGCCCCCTCTCCCTCCCGACTCTGACTAGATTAAAGATCCTGATCCAACCAAGGAGATGCCAGGTTTGCAGATGTGCTGGCTTTGCCTCACACATATGAATCCCCAGATCCAAAAAGGAGTAGAAAAGCAAAAAGCAAAATGAATTCTTTATTTCCACACACACATGGCTGGCACCTGGATGTCTGAGGGAATAACAAAGGGGCCTCTCACTGTGGATGGGCATGACCGCTAAAAGTCAAGCACATACTGTATACACAATAAGGTTTGTCTGATTTAATCGAGAACATGTGGGGGCTGCCAGACGGTGATCGGCCATGTGCCTGGCTATGCTGTACATGCTGTGCTAGTAAGAAGAAAGGCTGTAACTGTTGAGGTACTACAGGTGCTACTGTTGATAACTTTAGCTGCAGTATCAATTTTTCTCACACACAGAAAAACTTGATTTTCCTTCAAACGTTAAGACGCTCTGTAGGAGCCAACGGCCATGCGCCACTCCTCACACCTCTGACTGGACAGTGATCTTTTCCACCTCCCTCTCCTTTCATCCCTACTACACTTCTCATGTGTCTGCCACACGTGGCAGAGAGAAACCCAGTTGGCCCTTCTCAACCAGATCCTGCAGTAACAAGGGAAAGTCAAGGACCTGTGCTGTCATTTAACTTGGAATATGACACCTAGACATTTTTTCCATTGTCAAGCTAAACTAACACAGATAAATCGAGGTCATGCGCTCGTGTTCCTTTGAAATACTATATAACAAGAACACTTACCTGTGGTAGTCTTTGAGACAGTAGATCTTATTTTCAGTGTCCACAGTGAAGGGCACTCCATCAAGGCTCTCATTACAGATGACACAGCGGAAACAGCCGGGGTGGTACGACTTCCCGAGGGCCTGCAGGATCTATAAAGAGAGAAATGAGTGAAGAAAATCAGGACATCAATACACTATTTCATTCTGCTACTGGCGTTTTATATTTCCTTACTATTTGTATCCACGGTTAATATAGTCATTGTTCTTAAAAATCTTTGCCTTTTGATTAGATTCACTTGTAATGATTCCTGTGGCTATAGTGGGTCGTGAAAGCAGCTAGGAATAAGACAAAGCAGAGAATAAGCCCACTTAGACACTCAGGATCATTTAACAAGTAATCACGCCTATTAAATGAAGCTTAAAGAAAAACGCTGCAATTAAATAAACATACTATGTGTTTTCTGGCAAATTTAAGACAGAGGCAGATGACATTTTGTATGTTACATACAGAAACATAACACACACATACAGTCTGAACAGATGTCTGCTACATACATATACAGCACGTTTAATATGCAGATGTGAAGATAAGCAGCACAATAAAAACAGAGACATGTACTCCATCTCTGTCTGCCGGATGGAGAACATGTGAGGACTCATGTCTAAAAAAATCCTGCATATGATGCGACACTTCCTGACTTCATCATATGGCTTTGTGTGTGTGTGTTTTGTTTTTACCCCAGAGACTGTGTGTGTCAGAGAGAGAGAGAGAGAGAGAGAGAGAGAGAGAGAGAGAGAGAGAGAGAGAGAGAGAGAGAGAGATGCACATGTGGAGCCAATGCTGTCTCCTGAGTCTTTATCCAGATGTGCCCACAGAAAGCTCAATTAGGATGAAGTAACTCTCAAGTTTCTGCTGAGATCACCTGGCTCTGACTCACACACACAAACTCACAAAAGTACACACAGCTGGAAAGAAGTAACAGACACTCACCATGTCCATGATCAGATGTCCACATGCGTTGCACTTGTCTGCAGACTGCTGGAAACCAGAGTACTTCAACAGACAGAAAAAAAAAGACGACAGTGATGTCATTGGAATTGGTTATTTAATGGATGACTGAATTCACTGACCCACCATTTCAGACTGAACGCTAAGCAACTCCACAATAGGCATTTTTGGACCTGAGGAATTCATAGTTTTATGACCGGTTGGAGGATCTCTCCCCCTTTTTAGTGTGTTTGCACTGCAAGAGCTGGGAACGATCGTAGTTTCCCTGTTTTGAGGGACTACTTCAGAGTAGTTTCTTCTACTTATGTAGGTATGATGACTGAGCTAGCCCACACAATGCCGTTTTTAAAAACCTCCGTAGAACGTTAGCCATGTAAACAACAGATCGTAATGGTAGCCTTAGAGGCTTAATTCAACTCAATTCTTAATTGAGCGTATATGCTAAGGGGAAAATAAATTAACTGGTGATATGGAATAATATCACAATATTTCAGGGTATTTCTGTGATAATGGTGTTCTTAATGATAGGACAAATACTAAAAAAATTTAGGTTAACAACTCGCAACAGCTGTTGACCTCTCCTTGCAGGATTTTTGACTCTCCTCAAACTCAACAAGGTGTTTCTGCTTGAGGTGGTGAAATAAGTGTTTTATTGCCCGTCTTTTCACACACCTTATATTTTACATAAGATGGTAGGTAACGAAGTATTAGACATATACAACTAATATATTGCACCAGATAATGTTAGCAACTACATCCCGACCCAATACATTCACATAAGAAGCAGAATAGTGGCTGTTGCAAGCAACTGAGAAAACAGGTGTGTGCTTAATTTCTAAGTGAGGTTACAGCCTATTGACAAAAGGAAGTAAAAAAAGTGATTTATTAATAATTTCATTAGAAAAAAATCCATATAGCCCCTTTTTTAAAAGTGCCTAAAATCACTTTCTTTTGTGAGATTAGGTAACTGATACAGTATTTGAATCAATCAGCTCAGCTTTATATGTGCTTTCTGTATGAACAGTGTGAGTGAGGAGAGGCCACACTAACAGGGTTGGCAGAGGAGCAGATGTAATTAACAGAACATAGAGGGAGCATGGCCAGAGCAAATTTAATTCGGTATAAATTATAATTTTAATTGAGCAACTTCAAGCTTTTGGTGAAAGAGATATAGATGAGTTTTTATACAGAGAGGGCTCCGTGGGTAAACACACACAGAGCCACTGACAGTGTGAATACAAGGATGAGTTGGCAGTACTTGCAGCAACCCTAAACTTAACCCCCCAAAAACCCACATTAAAAAACAGCATGTAAACTGGCAACAAATATGACAAACGGCAAATTTCACCAACCAGTTTCAATTGATTTTTAATGGACATCCTATGATGATGCGTACTGAAAGTTTTCCATTTTTGCACTGGTGTGAATGGCCTGACCGCTCTCCACCCTATAAACCCTAGCAAAGCAGCTTCTCCAGTTACTGACCTCCTTTCAGTCCCACCCAAGGGAGGAAACTGATATGAATCTGCTGCATTGGATGCTAAAAACTGGGCCACAAGGTCAAAGTCTCCAGCTGATATTTTGCATTTAAGTGAAAGGCTGACAGATTATTGGTTGCATTTAAGTGTGTAAGATATATGGATGAATGGTGATTTAAGGAAAAGGGGCTAACTTTGATTAACCAATCTTAAATACAGAAAGATCTGGAAGCCTTGAGACAATGGACATGTGGACTGTGTGAAAGTGAATACAATTCAGTATGAGAAAGGTATCCAAACCTATTTTTGAAGTCAAAATAAAGGTTACAAGACCACATACCTCAGTTGAGGTATACTAGACATTGATTGTGAATTGACTACTCACCAGAAAGTCCTCTTCACAGAAAACCTTCCCTCCAACATAGTAGAACGCCTTCCCTCTCAGCCTTCGACCTGCATACACAGATAGAAAAGTCAATTTGTATCATTTCATTCTCAAAAACTGCCTCTTAAAAGAAAAAAGTGTGTTTATTATTGAAATACAATAAGTATATCAAAGCAGACAAGAAAAGGTGAGTTAATGACAGAATGTTAAAATGTCTCTGTGGAAAATCTTGCAAAGCCGTGAGCCTGGTCTCAGAAAATAGTTACAGCACTAACGCATAAAGACCGTGGTGATTAATTACACCCATTTGAAGGTAATGGACCCTCTTGCAATATTCATTATATCCTGCTGCATCCCAGGCAGATAAATCAAACTAACGGATCTATGGTGTGCTGGTGTCTTAATATAATATTGCTGAGACACCAAGCAGTGCTGCACTAAGGAAAGGGAACACATCTGGATCAAACGCATGTGGGGTAAATGCTGATCAAATCCAATTATTAGACAGGTGCAACAGATTAAACGCTGTTCTATTAGATGTCATGGCCAAGACATATACCGACCTGCTGTTCTTCTTCTCTGTTAATTTCTGGTGTCTTTCCACACTTTACGCGTGCTTCCTGTTTGCCTGTGTGCTTTAATAGTTCTGTGGTATTGAAACTGGCCACTTATAGCAGAGCGCGCACACACACACACACACACACACACACACACACACACACACACACACACACACACACACACACACACACACACACACACACACACACACACACACACCCCTCTATGCTCACTTCACATAGCTATTCTTGCCCAGGTCCCACAGGAAGAGGGAACATTCCTCACATTTTCTGAGTGGGGAGGTGAGGGAGGGGACAGCACAGAGAGAGGAGAGGTTAACCTTGGTGAACAGGAGCCTTCTTTATCTCCCATGCTTCATCTCATACTTTTGCCTGATTACTTGTATCCGGAGAGTCTCACACAGTCATTTAGCCACTAAGAATTGCAAAGTTTCATTCTTAAGACAGAGAAGGAATGCAGTCATAGTAATAACCCAGGTACAGGACATTTTTATTACAGGGATTCATTTCTGGAGGACATGGACAACAAATGAACAACTAGTCAGCACTGAAAGAAAATATATTTTGATATAGTAGCGTTGTTGGGTAATATTACAGTAGTGACAGTGAGATATTATATTGGCCACCTTTTTGCCCTGCTCTTTGTATGGTGGTAGCTATTCCTTTAATATACCTGGCAATATTAGGCCATTAAGGACAATGCTGCAAATAACGGATGAAGCTAATTACATCCATCCATCCATCCATCCATCCATCCATCCATCCATCTCCGAGATCTCATCTCGGTACCTAATGGCAGTCAGGCTACCTCTGGCGAGCACATGGAGGGCTGTGCGGCCCCCCAAAGAAATGCCACCCCACACCATTACTGACCCACCGCCAAACCAGTCATACTGGAGGATGTAGGACGTTCTCCACTGCGTCACTACGTCTGTTACATATGCTCAGTGTGAATCTGCTTTCATCTGTGAAGAGCACAGGGTGCCAGTGGCGAATTTGCCAATCTTGGTGTTCTCTGGCAAATGCCAAACGTCCTGCACAGTGTTGGGCTGTAAGCACAACCCCCACCTGTGGACGTCGGGCCCTCATACCACCCCCATGGAGTCTGTTTCTGACCGTTTGAGCAGACACATGCACATTTGTGGCCTGCTGGAGGTCATTTTGCAGGGCTCTGGCAGTGCTCCTCCTTGCACAAAGGCGGAGGTAGCGGTCCTGCTGCTGGGTTGTTGCCCTCCTACGGCCTCCTCCATGTCTCCTGATGTACTGGCCTGTCTCCTGGTAGCGCCTCCATGCTCTGGACACTACGCTGACAGACACAGCAAACCTTCTTGCCACAGCTCGCATTGATGTGCCATCCTGGATGAGCTGCACTACCTGAGCCACTTGTGTGGGTTGTAGACTCCATCTCATGCTACCACTAGAGTGAAAGCACAGCCAGCATTCAAAAGAGACCAAAACATCAGCCAGGAAGCATAGGAACTGAGAAGTGGTCTGTGGTCACCACCTGCAGAACCACTCCTTTATTGGGGGTCTTGCTAATTGCCTATAATTTTCACCTGTTGTCTATTCCATTTGCACAACAGCATGTGAAATTAATTGTCAATCAGTGTTGCTTCCTAAGTGGACAGCTTGATTTCACAGGAGTGTGATTGACTTGGAGTTACATTGGGTTGTTTAAGTGTCCCCTTTTTTGAGCAGTGTGGATAGATAGATAGATAGAGAGTCAAAGAAAGCAATAAACTCTGTTCATGTGAACCAGTTATTCACAATTACATTATCTTCCTCTAACCCAATAATAACAGTCACACAGCAACTAAGGTCTGGCCAAGTCTTACGCAATAACTAACTTAAGAGGAGACCAGTCATTTTGATCAGGCCAAGGTGTGGAACAGGCCTTGGGTAATTACTGACACACGGTCTAGGACCTGTGTCCCTAAAGGAAGGAGGGAAGGATGAAGGGAATCAAAGTGAGATATGGGCCATTCCTTTTCTTCACATTCCTGTCTTTTTCCCCCCCAGAGAGTCAGAGAGAGAGAAGGCTCCCAGCTTTGCGGAAGATAAGAGCTTAATTAAAGTCAGGAGTCAGGGCTGACTATTTGAAAAGCATAAAGAAAGGACTGTGACTATTTCATAAAAATGTAAAATACCTGGGGGACAGAACAAAACACAAGGCCATTTTCTAATTAAAACATTCCATGAATTCCCTTATGTAATCCCATTCAGAAAAATATGACATTCACAATGACCCTGTTATGACTAATCAAGCCTCAACCCTGTTCTTTCCTGTGAGTAAATTACTCAGGTGAGCCTCAGCAAAGGAGCCACATCTCTTTTATACCAATATCACATTTGTAGGCTGATTGTCTCTGAGATTCAGTCTCACCTGAAGTAATTCCCTTCCCTGCTAAAGATATAGATGGATGTTAAACTGACTAAAGAATAAGTTCCCTGCATTTATAAGAAGTATTTCTGGTAGTCTAAATGCATTTCTCTGACTGAACAGCACCATGAACGTTTGGTCAAGGTCCTGACAATCTACCCACCAGATGTTAACATACCAGAGGATTCGAACGATCAGTCTTTTTGGATTCTCCAAAGCCCGCCAGCTGGCTGGGATTAGGAGCTGATGTTGAAAGTAGAATATGATCTGTGATCTGTGTACCACAAACTCAAGTCACACCTTGCACTGCTGTTCTTAGTATTATAAAATTACCAAAAAATAGATACTTGATAATAAGAAAGGAAAATATAGCTGTGAAGTCATTTCTACCTGCATTTCATTCTACATATGAATAGTATACTGGAAAAAAGGGTATATCATGTAAGGAGAGGGAATTGCGATCTTGCAATTGAATCTTGTTCTTTCTTGCTACTGTGTAAAACAGTTCCCTTGATTACAAACTTGAGATTAATCTCCAGCTGGAATTGGGTTTTACAGTTAACTGTTCGTAAACAGTCAATGATTAGCCTGGAGGGAAGCCCCCCCCGGGAGTGCTGACTCCCAGACATGAAGCCTGAGCTCTGCTAGTCAGCAGGAATGTTCTTCTGCCTGTAAGTCACCTTGGGGGAGCTGGTGGAGGGAGGTCATGGGACGAAGTTCACGGTCATAAAGACTTGTTATGCAACAGTTGTCTTGACATACAGA